TTATTTCAACGGGAGAGTCGCAGGTGTGTCGTACGCCATTAATGCGTGGTTGGGGGAAGATCCTTGTTTTATACCCCACTTTAAATATCATAATATCTCCGGAGTATAGTTCCTTAAGCAAATATAGTTCTCCTTTCTGCCCGGTCATAACTGAAAGCTAGCGAAACAATCTTTTCGTGATCTACTTTTTGGACGTGTCAGAGGATAAAGCTATGGCAGGTCGATCGGAGGGAGACGCAAAGGATGTAGCAAAAAGGGAGTTGAATATTGGCTCTCTTAAAAGCTCGTCTTTTAAAACGTCATGGCGAAAAAGTAGTCGTATTACAATGACAATTTTATTTTCCTGTTTCTTTGACACGTTCCGTAAAAACCACTTTACATTGGCATTTCCCGTCTTTACTTGACATTCGAAAGTCGACAATTTATATAAATTTGATACGCATCGCTAATAGACAATTTTATATAAGCTAGTAAATATATATTAAAGTTATTTCTCTCTCTCTCTCTTTCTCTCTCTCTCTCTCTCTCTTATAAATATCTCAGTTTCGTTTTTAGATTAGATAATAGATTTGAAGAATATATTTCCTATTTGAATCCCGTAAAAAAGAAGTTTATGAGATAACATCCATTTATTTCAAAAGTTGAAGAAGCATGGCGTGTCATGAAAAGATTTTGGACTGCACTAAAACATTTTCATTTGTACGAATCACGTGATTTTAAAGATTGGGTCAGAGATATGTTTAAACCTCCCCAGAGTACGGAATATCGCCGCAGGAGCATGTAGTACAACTACGTAACTTCGAGAATTGCATCCCTCTCTTGTACGGCCTCCAGCTACGCTTACATCAATTCCATTAAAGAGCAATGTAGAAAGACATTAGGCTTTATTACTTTTTTCTTTGTTTTTTTAAATATCTTATGACAAAGTATGTATAACGGTTACGCAATAAAATCTGCATATTATATGATATAGTTCTTACACAAACTAAAAGAGGGATATCGATTCAGAGAAAAAAAAAATTGAGATAATTGGAGTTGTAAAAAATAGTGTTTCAGCTGGCCGGGGTGTACGGGTTGAGAGCTAAGTTGGCGAAAGATTGTTCGGGCGTATTCTAGCGGTTGTGAATCTAATGTGAAAGCACGTCGAGTATCTCAACGATGGCAAAAGTAGCTAAACTTTTTACTCCTACTGAGATGCGGGTGCTTTGGAGTGGTGTTGTTGCGAAGCGCCGAGGGTTACTCAGTTGGTACATCAAGAGGACTTCTTACAAGATTCCATTGCTTGCGTTTTGGACTTCGCAAAAAGTACAGGATAATCCTGCGCCAACTACGGACAATTCTCGCGATAAGGTTACACCGTATAATTTGTACAAAGTAATCCGACCGTTGCCTTATTCAGGGGAAACTCCGCTTACAAGTTTGATCCATGACGCGACACGTGAAACTGGTTGGGGAATTTACTTAAGGGATAGTTCGTAAAGTGCGTCGTAAAAGAAAAATCTCCTCGATGACAACACGCTTTCCCGCCGGCTAAATATGAGCAGACGCTACTATGTTTCCATGTAATATATTATCAAAGTCGTGGCTGTAAAGCTGAGAGTTTAAAGGGGATCCGCTTTTTGGTTAAATTAGATGGTAATAATATCTTTTCAAAATAATATCTGTTTGCTAATTACCGCGCGAATGTTTTATTAATAGATTTAGTTAATGCACATATATGTACAATAAAATTATAACGTTTGCATGCAAATCAGTTTTCACACAGGTTATCTGCCTGAAATTGCGCGACCTCCTTGTATACAAACATCTAATGAATAATCTCGAATAGAGGAACATGTTTTGTTAATGAATACCTTTTCTAAAGAATCGCGAGAAAAGTAGAACGTGCTTTGTGCATATACAATTATTCTGGAAAATTTTAATGTACTTTACTCATGAATATCTTAATTAGGCAAGCATTGTAACAACTACCTTTGATATGGTCTCGTAAGTATTTATTAGCTCATGTTTGAATCCGGATGTACTCACATAATTCCAGGACTCCTAATTATATCTAGGGTGAATACATTAATATACTCATACATATACATATGCATACAAATGTAATTTTAATTAATATACATTCATTTTTGTACGGTAAATGTTTAAGTAGCTTTCGTGTTATATATTTGGAAAAACACGAATGCCAATTTTCTCACTTCGTGAGAGAAAGAGTAATAATACGTAGGATTACAGTGCAAGAATGTAATAAAAGTTTTATTATCCCTCGAAATCCTATACAATACCATCAAACTAGAAAAAGAGTAACGTGCAATGAAATAACAAGATTCTAAAGAGCATTGCTTACACGAATATACATTACATTTTTACATTCACATAAATCATGGGATTTTGCGAAGAATAACTTTAAACATGTAAATTTGCCCTTCTCACGTTTTAAATTTACTCCAATATTCTTTCTATAAAACCTTGCCAAGAATTGTTAATCCTATCGCCGTCACTAATTTTTTACCAAGCACGCGAAAAAATGTATAATATACTATATATATAAGTTTTATTTCTCAATATATGTATTTATTAACGATTTATTAGACGTTTTTCGAGAGTTGGACAAGTTTTTTTTTCTTTTTTTTTTTTTTTTTTTTTTTTTTTTTTTTTTTTTTTTTTTTATGTCGGTCGCGTCGTATATACGATATTTCGCATTCGTTTTCTCGGAATTTCTGTCGACTTGACTTTTGTACAGATGAAATTCTATCTGCGATTTATCGTGAAGGGGTCAGAGGGTTAACGAGACGCGAAACTTGAGTCCCGAATTCTGTAGTATCGTACCCGCGAGGCATCGTATCGTTTCTCTCCGACAAATATAGGCAATTCTACCGTCTGCCCTTGTCGGTTCGCTTCTCGGACGAATCTAGGCAACACGTTTACTCCTCGGAAAGTTTCACGGCCTAAAGGCAAAAGATTACCTTACAATCAAGTACCACACAGAACAACCATCTGTGTATTGAGTTACGGGGAGGAGAATTCTATTGCAACCGGGGAATTCAATTTGTTTGTTTTAATTGCTTTTGTTCCTCTTTTTTTTATTTTTTTTATCATCACAATTGTTCTCTTTAATTGTAAGTCGTATATAGTTTTTGTGTATACAGTTGGACTATAAAAGTAATTAAAAGAATTGAGATATTTTATATATAAAATGTATTTGAAGCTATGTTGATATATCTGGATATATTTATATTGTGTCCATCATGAATTCGACTGTAAAATCCGCTCTGTAAGCCTTATAAATTATAATCTCATAATGTCATTTTTAATTACGTTGTTAGAAAGAGAAATCAACATTGAATTGCTTTCGATCGAATAAGGGCGTGGAGGAAATTTATTTTCTTCGCGTTGTAAACATCGTAGAGCGCGAAGTAAATATTTTAACTCGTGAAGGATTGAATAAAATGTGCCAAAATTTATCTCTTTCTCTCGCATCATGATAACGTATTGAAAGAATTAAAAGAAAAAGAAAGCTATTGTTCCTCCTTTTGCCTGTTTATGTTTTTCAAATCAATTTTATTTTTATTCAGCTTGACTTTTTGCCAGATTTTTTTGCCGCTGATGCGAGTCACTCGTGCGACGAATCAACCACACATTGCGAAGTAAATTGAATATCATTCATCGACTTTTTTTTGCCAGTCCCCGTTTCGGACCAGTACTTAATTCCCATCGCGAGGGTAACCCTTGTGATTAGACTCGATTTTTTTTCAAAACGAACTCACCTCCCTTCTTTTGCTTCATACTAACCTTTGATAAACGCTCGCTATTAAACTGTCCCGACATCGGATAACGAAGCATAAAAAATGCATGAAATGATGCACTTGGTATTTCGCTTTGCCGGAATTAACTGTATTAATTAAACGTAACAGCGTCATTATAATGACATAGGATAATAGGGAGTAACCTCTTGCAAAGAGCGATGTTTGATGCTAACAGACGATGTAGATGAAAAAATCAACAGTTTGTGAAATGATTATTCGCAACGATATTTTGTTTGCAGGTCCCATAATTTGCGATACATATATCATGCATTACGAAATAGTGAAATATTATCGAGACGACATTGACAGATGCCGTACACCGTCTCGTTGAGAGAAGATCACGGCCTTTAACAAAGCAGAAGCAATATTTCAGAATGAAAAAGCAATGTTTCGACCTTGGAAACGATCCAACGTCTCTCGCGTATCTTGCGCTTATTAAGCGTCATAGTATGTGACGTGGGCTAATGCTGCAAGGAGAGACCCCGTCAGAATCATTCGCGGTCGTGAATCAGCAATGAACGCGAGTATCGAAAATCTATACGTCATGCTGCGAACAAAAACTCGCACAAATGGCGGAATTTTTGGATAACGAGTCAAACACAAAGTCGCGTGAATACGAGCGCGAAATGTTCGATGGTTCTCTCAAAGAAGCGAGCTCAAAGAGAATGAAATAATCAATATTCTATCAATTCCTTTACCTCTGATATCAACAGCGACCGAAGTATACTTATCAGGAGAGATATGATTCAAATGTTATAAATTAAATAATGTAAAGGCAGATATTCTCTATAAAATATTCTCTATGTAACTTTTTTCTCTTTCTACTTTGCAACGGTTAAAATTTTAACGGTTAATTTAATTTTAAGATATTAATATTATCAAACGTGAATATCTTTTTCGCAAATGAATATTGCGCATAGCTAATACAAATATTTTTGTATATACGTGATAGTAAGCCGTATTGTGTAACTAACGGTAATCTGTAAAGTTACAATCGTCAATTTAACTTTCCGTAATTAATGTTGATGGTGATATTACCATAATTATCTGTTGGTCAATTATTTCATATTCCAGCATATACGTAATATCATATACCAGCTGCGTGTAAATCGCGCGTATAGTCGAGGCAGATATCGGGAATATTGCAGATGTTTTAGACGCGGGGATAAATCCGGATAAGCTAAATCAACATACCTGGAAATTAATTTAGTTCGTGAAATCTTCGTGATGCGAGATCTACGAAAATTTTCCGGGTAATTGTCGCACCGGATCTCCCCTTGTTCATGCTTGGCCAACTTCGTGTATTCTCTTCGATGTCATTCTAGTTGGAGGGATACGAGTATTAACCTTCGTGCACACTAACTTCCACCAAACTAGCTTCTTCGCCGAACACATTCGGTAGTTTGACGTTTTATATGTCGGCGCAATATCTTTGTATGGATGTCGACGTTATAGTACTTTTGTATAAAATTTGAAAGCGATTCATAAAGTTTCTGCTGATTTGATGTATTCACACTTTTTGTCTAACAATAAGTGTATCGCGCAAATATTTTAATTACCGGTATAAATGATTCAAAAAATTCTCTAACTCTTAAAAAATTAAGACTAAAGGAAACTATCTCTCTTATATTAAATATACTTGGTAAATTATGTAATCAATGAACTAGATTTATATTTTAGATTTATTTTACTTTGAATAACACGTTGGATTTTGAAATATATCTTCATTAATACTACGCTTCCATAAAATATATCTTTTAGTTATTTCAATGGTGTAATCTTTATCGTATAACAAGAGTTAGAATTGGACACTTAAAGATCGATTTTTCTCTGTCACTAGCACGCCAGGGTATCTCCGGAAATTTACTAGTGGCTCGAAGTTCGTCGGTCTCGATTCTATCAGTCGAGTCACGTCCATGTGTTCTTTTTGGATTTCTCTGTCGAACTTTCAGAGCCCCAACCTTTTCTCGTTTTCAACTGCGATTAATCACGGTTGCGCGAGTCTTCATATGCAAATTTGTCCGCCCAAGGAAATTCACGAAACATTATTTCACCAAAAATATTTCCACTCTGTCCATCAATAGAGCACAATTTTGAGCCTTGTTATCGATCTTCCAGCATTTATGCATTTTACTTCGCGAAAATAGGTATTTTGTGTGTAGATAGTACGTAGTTTCTGTCAGCCTTCAGTGATGATGAGCTTCGAAACCTCGTGCGTATGTCAGGAATAACGAAATTTGCATACAATTCGAGTTCCTCGACGGCTCTCGGCCGACTGACCGAAAACGCGACTACCTTGCGCGTCTTCGTTATCCGCGCATGTGCCGCCGCAATATATAAGAGATTTTAATCGAAAGCCTAGAAAAATTGAGAGGGTAATTAAATATATAGCAGTTGGCTCGTTTATAAAACAAGATATCTGCTTGTCGAAGCTGGAATTGTGCAAATAAATTGCAATAATTATACGCTATAGCTTTTAATATTTAATGTATCTCGTTTAAACTTTTCCAATCGTTATTATTTCTTCAAATATTTGCAAAAGAGAAAATTTAACTTTAAAAAGATATTATAAATTAAATATCATATATAATACTTAATTGTGTAAAGTTAAATAATGATCGTTTATCACGATTTTAAATCGAATACAAGTATCATGTCGTGAATTTATGTATATTTATTTGTATATTTTATTTATTTTATTTGTATATTTTATTTATTTTATTAAAAATGATTAGATTATTTCTTTTGCAATTGATAATATATTTCTATGAAAGTAATCTCTTTGCTATATTATATAAAATAATGTCGCGAGACTAATAAAAACTTTAATTTTAATCTCACGACAGATACATACAAGCACGGCATAGAGATTGATAATCTTGCACATTAATTCCATTAAGTCTATCCAATCCATTTCATCAGTCACAAATAAATCCGTAACAGAGATATTGCATTCAAATTTTGTAAAATTCGATGAATCTGCCCTTCGGGGATGATAATTAATCAAGCCGCGTTACATGAATCTACAAATCTCACAGATATCCGCTATTTTTAGTCGAAGAACAATAGTATTCTGTGTGGGGAAGGGATTTTCCCCGGGGAGGGGATTTTCTACCGTTCGATTTTATGGTAAATTTACAATAGATACGGCCGCGATGTTACAAGCAAATGCTCTCCATCCTTTTACAATTTATACAGAATAAAGGAAAGCGAAGAAATTCAGAATTCTGTTATAATACATTTTGTTTGAGGATTTCGACGTAACATGTTTGTAACAAATTACCGGTTGAAAATTTATGTTCGGACAACAGAGCTCGCATATCTATATGCTGCTGGCAACTGAGAGCGAATGCGAAAATTCCTCCTTAAAGAGATACAAAGTTGTTGAAACATATGATGCGAGATGCAATTCAGTTTGCTAATTGCAAGGAAGCTGCACCGCCCCGGAAGTAGGTTACGTTAAGCCCGGCTGAGAATGCAGGCGGACACACTCATCAAAGTGAATGCGCGAAGCTTATGAGTACATTTGTGTGTGTGTACGTACATATATGCAAAGGAAGCATGTAAATCTGTGCACTCCGATTATGAAATGGAACACGAAATGCAGCCCTTTTTAATTATTTTGTAGAGACTTCAATTAATCACACGCTAGAACATTATATTTTTTATAAAATAGAGAATCTCAAGTTATATACGGAACATATAAAAATGTATATATATATATATATATATATATATACATTTTTATATGTTCCGTATATAACTTGAGATTCTCTATTTTATAAAACATATAATGTTCTAGCGTGTGATTAATTAAATATATATATATTATATAGTTCTTACGCTGATATGCACTAAGGATGATGGCGGCGTATATTTCAAAGCGTTAATTGAAATGCTTAAATGATAAGCGTGATTGAATGCACATTACATCTCGTTTATGAATAGGGCTTTGTGTGCAAAATTCGCTTGCCAGTACTGTAGCTTTTGTATGTCTGCATGCATTTCGTGATACTCTCAAAGTGATTTCCCACATTTCGCGCTTCGGTCCAGAAAACCGAACTCTCCTAGATATCGTGATTAAAAAATAGAGTACAAACTTTAGAAAAAAATAATTGAAAATTGTCAATATAGATTAGCACGAGACTTTTATTTTCGAACAAAAAATACAAGTAACATTCCAGAAATTATCCCGCTGCTCAAAATGAACAGTCCAATAATGGCGCACTGTATTTTAATACGGAAATATACGAGTATATACGAGCGACTTTTAATTAAACTTTCAGTTTAATTTTAATCGGGCGTTTAACGGCACGCGTTTCGTGTTTTTTCAATTGCTACGTTTACGTTCAATGTTTATTCATTGAAAGATTCGTATGATAATTAAAGTGATTTTCTTAATGAGATGTTGAATGTCTGACCATGTTTTCAAGCATGTGTCTTTACTCACAATCAGTTTTATTGTAGATTTTATCCGGCTCCATGTACTCTGAGAGAGTGCATCCGGAACCACATCCGACGCGCGAACGCGCGCGTGTATGTGAGAGGTTACTGTCGTTGCGATAATGTACATAGAGACTGTCACGTTTTGTAATCGCTAAATTACGACAAATAAACGATATTTGAATGTATATGTGCCGACTAAATCTAGGAAAATTTAATGTAGGTTTTATGTGCTAGAATAATGAAAAATACCGTGTGAATATATATTTTATTTGCATTCGACATGCAAAATTATAAGGAATTATATGGAGTACGGCATTTAGGCTGCAAAAATCATTTAAAAGTATAAAATATAGAAAATGCTTTAGTATGAAAAAAATATTATTCTATTTTCTACGTTCTTATTTTTTTACATATTTTATTTATATTTTTAAAAAGGCTTCTTTTTCGTATTTATATCACGACTTTAGTCGCACTCTACCTATCGAAATCATAAATAGATATATTAATGAATAGATAGAGTAATATAAAGAGGATGTTTGAAATAGAGGGTGGATATCGATTTTGTGTATAAGTGTGTGTTGTGTAGATGTGAGCGACTTTAACTCCTTCAGCAATTTTCTCGCGTGCGTGTTCGTGTCGGACGCCAGATGGTGAATACCAGACTGTGGTCAACTCAAGATTTATCACTCTACGAAACTGTATCGTCACTAAAAGACTTTGCTCGGCGTTTAAATTCTATAAATTGGTTCTTCAATAGGTGTAAATGGCGACGCTTAGATTAATACGTAATCTGCTACGATTATCTCTCAAGTAAACCCTCGACGCGCTTTAAACGCCGCCGCGAAATTTAGTGAAAAAATTGTCCATCCAATCTCATCCATTATCTTCTTGATAAGCTACTAATTTTATGTCGATATGTTCTCATACATAGCTGCATTTTATCTCGCATATGCGGTAGCACGTGCAGATGCGTTCGCACGTAATCCATTAATTAGAACTTTGTCGGTTAATGGCTGTATCTCGAATTTACAATTCTCTATATTTCCATGCTTCCTTCGATAAAATGTTTTGAAAAGTCAAAATTTTACACTAAATGAACGATATTATTCTCTCGCTATCGGGATAAAAAATGACGTCGCTATTAAAAACTTTGTGGAAATGTATGCTCGACAATTTCTGTGCGAAAAGAGAGCCGGGAATTCTTCTCGCAGTCAGTATTTGCTCGACACATATCACGTATAAGGATACGCTGTCACTAAACGTTCTGTACAAACGCGCGTTTACCGTTATATATTATTTCCTATTCTTTTTTCGCCCTGGTAACCCATATGCGTATGGCAGTAACTGTGACACATACAAAATAAGGTGAAGATTAAACGGGAGAATGTATTATAGAAATTCAAAGAAATCGAAAAGAATATTGCTCGTCTCTTCGCCGTGCAATATCGTGCAAATATACGATGATCGTTTGCAGAATACGTAAATGCTTTTTGAAATTTCTTCAGACAATATCTACGCTATTTGCATAATGTAAAGAAATTGACTTTATCCAGTTGAATCTAATAAGTCTAATGTGTTATGTTGATTTTATCTAATTATTTTTTATAGAAATTATACTAAATGAATTATATGCAAGTTATTCGATTGATGAGAAAATAGTAATGTGGTATGTGTACTATATTCCCACTCGTTATATATACATATATTTATTCTAATATTTTTTAATCGAGATATCAAATATATTTTCGAGTTGCTGTTGCACATTTATAAATCAATTTGTAGTTATTAGCCATCTGTCATTAGTCGTGATAACAAAGGATTGCATTCTCGAAGGAACTCGAGATTTTCGCGCAGATATGAACACGTTTAAACGAAATATATTGATGTCTGCTAAACATCGAAAATCAATTTGCGAAATGCGCTTCTTTTCACGTCACGTACCATTTTATGGCTGCTGATGGCAGAAAAGGAAAGCGGGCTTTTGTGCTCATCCAGATATGCTAGCAAGCTTAAAATGATATGCAGACCCGCAGATTTACTTTGATTTGATATAACAGAATATAATGGCAAATTATGTGTGAGCTTTGCGACTTTGAAAAGGAATTCGTATCACGTTACACACGCGTATTAAATAAATTTAATATTATTTGAAATGTGTTATATGCAATAAAAACAGTTTTCAAATATTTAACAGTGAGGTATCCGTAAAAAAATTAAGAAATCGGAAAAAATGATACCGAATATGTATTGTTCAGTTTAAATATAATATATAGCTTTTTTGTGTGTAAAACTTCTATAGTAATATACATAATAACGTAATTTATATATTTTATTTTATTTATCTGTATTTCCTCAATTTTTTGCAACATATTTCTCTCTCCTTTTTTTTTCTTTTTTTCTTTTTTTTCTTTTTTTTATTGAACTGACAGCTATGTTGCATGATTTGCATACATTCTAAAATGATGAATGTCACACATGCTTCTTTTCACGCTGTTCTCCCGATTGAATTTATTATTGCATATATTATACATTGTTCGATTATACACTGACAATTGTACGATAAAAGTATTGTTCAGTTTGAATGTTGCCATAGTCAGCCTTTCTTTATTTTTTATTCACACAAGAAATTACAAAAGATCGATACATATTACAATGTATCTCCAACGTGTTGCACACTTGAGCGTTCTTCATATTATACATTACCTCATATATATTTATGGCTAGATTTTTCCTCGACACGAAAGATTCGTGTAGATATGTACGGCGCGAAAAAATAATTTCTTAGCTTACGTGACTTTATATTCCATAACCAACGATTTACGCTTTGCTGGGCACGGAGAATGTCTTCCTATCTATTATGTAAATAAACGATACTCGCATTATCAGAATCGTACTGTTTAATTCATAATCGTAATCCCGTATCAAGATTTGGAGAGAATTTGCGTATTCAGCTATTTCAATTCTATCGTATCGTTTCTGCAAAAGACTGCAATCATAAAATCGAGAAATTCCTGCAAAACTGAGAGAATTATATTTCTCAGTTATTTTTAATTAATCTTTTTACATTGACTGTATTGTTTTATTTCTGCGATGATTGATTGCCACATTTGGAAAAGCTGTTTAGTATTTTGTTGTCCCTTCTTCACTCATTAATAACAGTAAATTGATTTATGAGTAATTTCTGTTAGGAGAGAAACTTTAAGGGGATTTAAGATTGTTTCACGAGATGAATTGTCACCGAGAGACTTTTCATGTATGATATTATTATTAAAAACTATCGAATATCCTCAATTTATAGTCATGAATACGTTCCAAAGAAGTAGTCAATAATTCATCTTCCAGTTGAGCTTGAAATTCGGAACAACATCCCTTACCTGCAAGAAATATCGATGCGTAAATAAAAAATAATAATTTTTCAGATATTTTTACGATACCGTTTTTTTTTTTTTTTTTTAAATTAATTTGTAATTATTATAAAAATTATTATAAGCGACGAACTCATAGTTGCAATGTATCTTTATAGTCACTATTGATCTGATAACTTACGCGCATAATTTCTACATACTTACCGCGTTAAACAATCGCATTTGTCCTTTTATCAAGCAAACGATCGCATTTTATCTCACCCTCTTCTGCGAGGTGAATGCTATTTTCAATAAGTTTACCACTGGTGCCTCGAAGGCTAGGGAAATACAGAATGACAGCAGGTACGAGGCTACCAAGTTACCGAAATAGACGATGAGCTACAAGAGAAACATATATAATCTTAACATTTTCCGTATTAGAAATTAAATCGAAATATTTTATATACATAATACATGTTAGAATTTTATATGTGCAAGACGATAGTATTTATTATACAGTGATCTGTCATGTAATATGGTTGGATAGGATTTTATATCTAAAAATAAATCGGAAATATGTAAAGTGAGATTTTTCTTACACGAAGGGTCATTTCTGAGAGAAAAATTGGGGAGTTATATTTTATCTTCACTTTAATGTTTGTATATCTTTCAATGATACTACATCAAAAAGTGTTGAAATTGTAACGGTTATCAAATTATGATTAAGATTACAATATCCTATTTTCAAAAAATGAATATTTTTTCTTTTACAAATAAATACTTCTGATATATTTAATAAATTTCAATTATTTTCTATTTCTTTTTTCTAGATACAATGTTGACTTCTTTTATTCATGCAGTAAGATAATTAAAAATTATTCAAGCTCTCTTGCGACAAGAAATAATAAGTTCATTAATCTTTAAAATTGATTGTTTGAAAATGTAATCTCGTAAATAATTTTACTCTATATTTTCAAGTAATATTTTTCCATAAAATCAAAATTATCCCTGTTGCATTACACCGACAGAAAAGGACCATTCTATATAAATATATCGCAGCCATATAAAATAATTTAATAATCTGAAAATTTTCTTTACGCTTACGACGATCCCATTGTGAAGATGTAACGGCCCATCCATTTGTGTACTCGTGATCATCATAATAACAGGATGCACTAGATAGGTGCAATATGTGAGTCTCGAGAGCGGATACATTAGTCTTAGCGAGAGTAAACTGTCAATCATTCGTGCCGATCCTGTGCAACATTGGATCACGATAAAAGCCACGGCCATCGCCCACGCGGTGTGAGCCAAGGCCGCATATATGGAGCTCACCATTACCGTCAAATTTCCGGGATACAGTCCATATACCACCGAAAACATAATCATTGCGGATAATACCCAGCCGATTAACTCTGCACCCTAGGAAATTGAGATTTTTTTATTCATTCTTTCTTATAAAAAATTTTACGCTATAAAGCAGATACTTATCGCGATATAAATGAATAGCATTATTTAATTTATTAGTTTATTATTAGTGTATTTTTATATAAATTGCTCGAATTAATATTTGTCATTTTTTGCATAATCCTTTCATAGTTGTTCTTGCCCATAAATTTTATCGATATCTAGATTTTTTTTCAATTATTTCGTCGGTAAATTCGCGTGCATATGAATATATCGCTGATTGATTGATTATTAGATTGACCGAACGATCGACTTTTGAAAACGTAAAACCATTGTGAACAATATCGACATACTCACCGTAGGTAACTTTAATTGACATTTCGTTTTAAAGAGGATATATCCAGTGATTGTGCCGACAAAATACGGGCCCGCTCTTAACCAGGGTTTGTCGTAGAGCTCATCGAAAAGGGCAAATGGCTCCTGGATCCTATGCGAAAAGTTAGATAAAGGAGTCACGCAGTGTGTACCGCGTAATGAAATTGCCGCATCGGCAGGCGAATAATGCAAAGTACAATGCCGATAAAGCGCGCTATAATAGACGCCAGCTGAAATTAAAGCCTGCTTCCAATTACAGGCGATGCAGCTGAGACTGCATCTCAATTGTTATGTTTCATAGAATAGCCGCGAGAATAGAGTGTAATTTTTCTCTTGATACAATTAAGACCTTTAGTAATCCTTTTTTATTGGTAATATATATTTTAATATTTTTATTCAATTTGTATAAGCAATTTTAACGTCGACTCATTATTAGATTTTATCCGGCTCCATGTACTCTGAGAGAGTGCATCCGGAACCACATCCGACGCGCGAACGCGCGCGTGTATGTGGGAGGTTACTGTCGTTGTGATAATGTACATAGAGACTGTCACGTTTTGTAATCGCTAAATTATGACAAATAAACGATATTTGAATGTATATGTGCCGACTAAACGTAATCTAGGAAAATTTAATATAGGTTTTATGTGCTAGAATAATGAAAAATACCGTGTGAATATATATTTTATTTGCATTATTAATATTTTTTATATTTTTAAAAATTATTGAAATATTATCTCTCCACTGTTATTTATACGTAATCTAGATATTTTCTAAAAATTCAATTTTGCCAATTTATATGAATTAATATCATGAGGCAGTAAACGTATTCAAAGGATCATTAAACACTAAATAGATTTCGAGAAACCGCGACATATGTGACGAACGTAGTAAAGTATCGATCGGGAATCTCTCGTACATTACCTGGCTATGTAATCGTTGCTGTAGGCTACGGAGAACGTAGTGAAACATGAAGAGGCGATCAAAAGAAAAACGATAACGACCCCGGTCTTGAAATATTTCACGGAGAGCAAAAGAAGAAGTATCCCAAGGACGTAGAATTGCGTGTCGTTGGCCATATACCAGCTCCACAGCATACACTAGAAAGTTATTAATGCAATAATCGCGTATCTCGATTACTGAGGAGATTGCGCATCGCGATAAGTTGCGAAAGTCCCATGTAAGAAAACTCGAACGAGGAAAAAATCACCGTGAAAGCGATGCATTAAATACCACTTTGACATAGAAACATTCTAACAATTCTCCCGCTCATTAACTCTCGTTGAGAATACACATTAATAATAAAAATCTCTTTTTACTTAATCGCATCTTATTTCTCAATAATTGCGTTTATTATTTCTAATCATTTAGTATTTAAATCGCTTCGGTTAGATCGCGCCAGGTGCTGTTGCAAAATACACCTAAGAAGTTTCATATTACGTTGAAAGCTTTGTCCCGCGAGTGATACATAGTAGCAAGAAAAAAAGGAAAGATACATTAGGATAAGCGAAACATAAATCATCTTACCATTTCCGTGCGCGGATATAGCGAGTTCAAATAAAGCGCATTTCGCCACCAGAATTTCTCACAGGTTAGATGATCGATAATAACAGGTGAAAAGACTGTCTTCGCCTGAGCGTGCTTTATGGCGATCTCGTTTATTCCCAACACAAAGAGATAAGCCGGTGTCAATCTTTGTGAAAGGAGGAAACCAGAGGTCAAGATAAGAGGATTTGTACATTATCCATAATTTATCCGCAAATTGAATTGTTTCGTGTGAAAAGACACGTTATACTCTCTTCACGCGTAAATTACGTAATATAATATAATCGAAATACATTTACCTGACAAATCGATACAGAATCATGATAACGAATTTGGTGGAACTTGTCTTCAAGAAGTTGCCCTTTTCCGTATTCAGATTACCCAGTGATCGATAGAAGAGTATAGTCACCAATAAACCGCTGCGCGAGACATTGTCAAGAGTTAATATCTCGCTAATCGAAATAGAAGCTTATCGCGCATTGTTCCTCACCTGATAAAAAAGAAAGTATCTACGGAGAATGTTGCGTTGCTGATGGTCTGGAACATGAAATTCCTCTCCGTGACTGTTCGCAGTGTCTTGTTCTCTGTAAAGCGTAATGAGGAAACGCTTAATTTCGCGAAATAGAGCCGGTGAAAGTATGCATGTTGCAAGCGGGGAAGAGTCTCGATTAGCGCCTCTCAGGAAATTCGATACATTCCGTTACATCATAACGTCGCTCAATTGCATTGAAAGCTATTTATAGAAAGTAGAGCGAGCCGATCGGTTCGAAGTGCTGTTAATGACGATACAATTTTCATGCATTATCGTGTTCTCGACGCTTCTACGAGTTACTTCGCTATTCGTTTAGTTCGGAAAATAGTCTTTTGGAAAAAACATCGTAAAATTACCCGCGATGGAAAAAACTTGGAGATACGTGTGCACCATGACGACCCATCCCAACGAGAATACCCGAAGACCGTGAAGACAAGTTAAACTATCCTTGGCCGCAGGATCGGTGCTAACGATCTTACTTCCGTTGACGGTGGGGCTGAACGCGAGCAAGCATCTCAGCCAGAATCCTGAAAAAAAAAGTGACGACGAAAGCGACGTTAAAGAATTTAAGAATATCTGGCTCAAGAAGATGTATCGACAAGATATATATGTCAACGACCTTCGCCTTCATTTTTCCCCTGAATAGGGTTCTCTTTTTGCGGATGCTTCGTCCCCTTTTCGATCAGCTCCTGACCGTTCTCCTGTCCCATTGAGATCCTGCGGTCTTGATTCAGATTCTTATCCACAAAATCGTTGGTCTTGTCATTGTTATTCGACACGCTCGATGACTCGATGTCCCCCATCGGGGAAAATGATCTATATTCATACACGGTTGCGCAGATCATCAACATCAATATCGCGCCGCCAATGGCTCTAAAATAACAGTTTAATAAATTTATTATGAAACAGTCTAAAATGAATTAAATAAAGTTAAAATTAAGATGATAGTAAGATATATTAAGAATATATATATATAATACATTTTTATTTTCTACACACAATTTTCATATATTGTGAAATTAATTTATAATTGCAAACTTGTACAATTGTAATAAAAAACAATTTTTTTTCTTTCTCGGGATGCTTCGATTTTTTGTCAAAGAGTATATATAGATTAATGATGAATATAACATATTTAGAAAAAAGATATTTAAATAATATGAATATTTTTTTAGAAGGTATAAAACAAATTGATCTGAGCTGCTGTATTATGTTATTAACAATTTATCAAGTAAAAAGAAATAATAGTTACGTTATAGTTAGAAGTTAATTATAAAAATATATTTCGGTCTCTTAATTGGTTAATTTTTAATAGATCAGAAGAATTTTTTTAAATTTTCGAGAAGCGGATTAGAATTATTAGATAATGAATCAAACTAAATTATATAAATACTCTTTTAATTAAATTCTAATACTTAATAAATTAAATATATAAATCTTTATTTGTGTAGGATTGCTTAGAAACTGTCATAACGTAATAGAGTTGTCACAAAATGAAGCGAGAAGATAGGTAAAGTTAATTTAAAGCTAATTTAGCGAGGTATATGGCGAGTAAAAGATTAAGCGGATTGTCTGATGACGATGGTAGAACTCACCGTCTTTAGGAACGCTTTTAGTCACGGTTTTACACTTGGCTCGTAAAGTGGAAGCGCAAGAAGTTCTATAGCCATGCGTATCACTTTTGTTCACTACTAACAATACTAACTTGTGCATTCAACGCTCATATGTTTATGTGTGTGTTCTATAGCCATGCGTATCACTTTTGTTCACTACTAACAATACTAACTTCTGCATTCAACGCTCATATGTTTATGTGTGTGTGTGCTCATTGTATCATAAAGGGGTGGGTTTATACATTGTGGTGATATATACGCGGCCGGAAATTTCGCAAGTCATTTCGCATATATTGCTTTACAAACGCATTCGATGATATCGGAGGAGAATTAAAAAACAAGAAATCGATTATGACCGCGCAATTTAATAACGAAATATTACCGAGTGTACTATATAGAACCATGCTAACTTTTTCAATTTCCGATTGAACAGTGCATTGGTTATACGGTCATTGAATTCGCGAAAGAGCTTAATGTTCCGAGAGATTAAACTCGGAAAACTAACCGTACGATTTTCCGCAATTGCATTTCAATTTAATCTCTCACAAATTAATGTTTTGTCTCACAAATTAATGTTATTTATTACGCGTTATAACAGCGGTTAGGCATAGAAACTAGAATGTCTAGGCAATTATTTTAATTCTCTTATCATTGTGGATTTTAATACAAACGATTTTATACGAAATACATAATTATCTGCTTTAAATTGGGGTTTTTGTGGTGTAAATATTTCATCGGTAAATATATTTTCATTAAAATATGCTCGCAATTGTAATTTACAACTGGGTTGCAAATTGTGATGCGATTAATTACGATGGACATGAATTTACTGACAGTTTTGCAATGAAAAATTGACACCTCCGTCCTTTATTACGGAACTATATTGAACGTAATATCGAATTTGCACGTTAAAGATTAACGCATGATTGGGATTTATAATTGATAGACGTGCTGCAGAATAATTACACGAGAATTTAATAACATCTCGGTGATTTGCATTTAAAGGTATTTATAAATCGATTTTTACTCTAATTGATCGACGTTTATTATCACAGGAATGTTATTGTTTTTTGAAGAATTTCAATTAATTATTTGCATGGAATTATGGATAAATATATTTGAAAATATTGAAGTATACATAAATGAAAAGAGAGATTTTCATATTATTATATATTTTTTCAAATTTTTATGTTTAATTTTTCTATATTTTATTATATTATATACAATATAATTGTTTTATTATATTTGATTGAAATATTGGAAGTTATTTTGTAGCGTGTCTTATTTACGTATTTCCGGACACCGATACAAAACCACGAAAATAGACGGATAAAGCGGGTTTGGACAGTGAATTTCGCGGTTTCGGGCCGCACATTATTTTCGCTGTAGAAACTTCCGCCTTATATCTTCTTGTCAGCCTTAAATTATTATTTTTGTCGGGATCAGCTAGGGGGAAAAGACTTCTGCGGATTTCTTTATCTCCCCACAGCACATTCTCGCGCGGCTTAAACACCACTCTCTGCACGCAAAATAGTATGGCAACACAGAGACTTCCTTCTTTTTCTTCACATTTAACCCATTTTAACGCGCTACTACCTGCGAATCCTAGTGAAGAGAAAAGAAACAAGCAGAAGCGATCTGAAGCGGTCCGAAACAAAAGTTTCACAAGGGAAGTTTCCGTCGCAACTTTTTTTTTTTTGCTTTTCTCTTTTTTTTCTTCTTCGTCTTTCTTACCACCCTATATTTTCGCTGTTCTGATTTAATCCTTCGACTACAGTCTCCGCTTGTAACTTTCATCGACTAAAAAAGCTTTTTTTCTCACTTTACCGAGCATGCCGTGGAATAAATTGCAAGCTTTCGACAGTCGCCACGAAATCGTTGGTGTATATATGGAAATTGCTATAAATCTGGATCTAAAGGGCAACTTTCTTTTCTAAATTTTATTAATGTTTTATAATATTTTATGATGTTTTATATATCTTTTAAGGTTTTTTTCGGTCTTGATGACCACTGTATCGGTTCTTTATGAATTAAGCGCATTTTTTCACATTGCAATTTTACGATACATTTATCGCAAGGTTACAATACTTGTCAAATACATCCAAAATGCGCGGAATCACATATTTAAGGTCTTAAGTTAGGAATAAAAAACGATTAATAATTTTTTTTCACGACATCATATATATGTAGAAGAAAAATACTGGAACTAAACATAGGTTTTCTAAATCCATATGATCCTATTTTTCAGCAATTAAATTAATTGCTGTACTTTATCAGAATATATCAACTTTATATGAAATTAATTCGGGTATATTATCTATTGTTATAAATTTTTACTTTAAATTTGATTTTTATTTTGAATTAAATGCTAGAGCGCGACAATAAAATGGCATGTTGGCTTAGTGCTTCTCTTTCTCCATATATGAATATGTGTAGATATGCAATTGAAATTTATTGAAATCGTACGCGGTATAAACCGGATACCACGTATATGGTAATGTAGCTGCACATCTGACGGTTTTCATTTCCGTAAACAATTTAATGGATTGGACCCGAGCGTGTACTCTGGACACGATTTGCATCTATGGCGAGGCCCGCATTCCGCCGGAATACAGACGACAGCGCAAGCGCTTTCACGCTGCGCGCCGGTGGCTTTCTATAATCTTACGTAATACATGTAGGTCCACACATGCGTGCAAGTGCGTGCGATACACGCTCGGCCGACGCATAATAGCACTCCGGACATCTTAGTTAGCATCGCTCTCTTGAGGGTTAATCTTTTAACTTTTAAGCACAGTTAGCAATTTCTTTTTAGTTTCGTCAGAAAACTTATGCATTTTATTTCCGTTTCTGTAACAGGTTGTTAAACTTAATCTATTCTAGAGCAGTAATCACATAACGATTGCAAAATAATATACTTGAAAGTGACAGATCTTTTCTCGTGACAATTTTGTGCGAATATTCAAATTTTTGTAGCATTGGACGTTGTTTATTTCTCTGGCGGCGTTGAAAAATAAACTGTTTGTTGTCTTGTTTGTCAACCGCGCAGCGCGAATTGCTGCTATGTAAATATCATCTTGGATCTGTGTACCAACGCGATAAATATCGTTTAACTTGCGTTCAAGAGAGATACCGGAAAAGCGTCTATATCAAAGTTTAAAGGATCATACATATAACGATCTATCACGTGGTTCGTAGACGTAGTGCAATGTATGGTTAGCATTATCTATAGCGATTTTTGAAGAATAACGTGCCGAGGGTTGTGACATATTGCACTCGCAAGGATTATTTACGACCCACACCATTTTACTCTCATTCCAACTTGGTGAACTGACAATGAGTTATACATCTCGAGATTTAGGTCGCAATTGATTATTCTGACTTTACCATTGTATATTGGAAACTTGATTCACATTTAATCTGATATATTATTGGTACTTTGCTTCGCGCTATTATATCAATATTGCGAAATATCATAAAGCTTTGTTAAATATTTTAATATTATTTTTAATTCTTGCATTAAATTCTCATCTTTATTGCATATTTTCAACTGAAAAACTGGCATTATTATTTTTATCTCGATTCGTTAATAGAAATAATAATCCCTTTAGCACAATAATGTATTATTTTATATGGAATATCAACGCGCGCCGGAAAAATGTTATGTTAACGATGTAATTATTTAACGCAATTTTATTGATCACATATTATAGAGGAAGGCCATACGAGGTGAAGCAACTATCGATTTAGCGTAATTTAAAACTGTAATAACTTAGCAGGCTCGTCGCGTTGCTGCGTGGCGAAGAGCCTTATTTATCCCGTTTGATTTATCCACGTTGTCTTAGACCGTGTTTAGGGGAACTACGCGAGGTTTTTTTCACTTTGCTTCTCGACAGCGAAATGACTCGAGGATGTTTCACGACTCAATAATAAATTGCGAACTGCCATCGTCCTAGTCTAAAAGGACGACGCTATTATTACCTTTGTCAAGTAATAACACAGTCGGATTTATTCGCAGAACAAATTGTATTTGTATCGGGAGAAATTCGAGATGTATTTCTATTCTTATACCGTTTGTCGTTTGGGTCATTTGAAAATCGTATTAAGAAATCAGGAAAGAAAATCAGAAAACGACGCGTATCTGAATACCGTGAAATTTTTCGTGAGTTAATTTGCGCGAACCGGTCTCTCTCTCTCTCTTTCTTTCTCTCTCTATCTCTCTCTCTCTCTCTTTTTCTATATCAATGCAAAATGACTTTTTGAAGCAGGCACGTGCCGTGAAATCGGGACATTAGATAGTAAGTCTCCTTGGAAGTTGAACTGTGCAATTCCTCTGCGTCGGACAATCCCGCGTTGTCGTTCTCGTTATTCTATCGTTATGCATTACCGCAAGGACACGTCGCGTTACTCTGCAATAGTATTATAGTTGCAACTGGGACGTTTCGAGGCATCGTCAGGTTTAAAGGACTGTCTCTCAGCTTTACATATGCCACAGCTTTCAATCGATAACAATGCACTCTTCTAAATATAAGCGAATATTCTCGGAACCGCGTATGCATTAGCAATCAAATATTAAAAACTGTTGCGAGTTAAAAATTAGTGACTAATCAATTGTTCACTTTTAATTTAATTTGCTTTACGAAGATATGTGAGTTAACTCAATTGAATTGAGAATTGCAAAAATTCTAGAATAGATTTCAGTGTTCTATTGACAAATACAAATTTTGTGCAATATTTATCAATTTTTTCGAAATTCCATTTCCACGGATATTTTTGCTAGGGAAAAAATGATATATTGCTACATGGATTGATCTAATATAAAAATAAAAAATTGTCTACCTGTAATTACCGATGTCGCACGCTTTTTATTTATTTTTTTTTTCTATTTCTCGGTGACATATACATGTACGTGTCCGGCAATCGACCGTTTAACGGATGCTTTGTAATTCCATTACGAATTACGTAACGCTTGTCTCTCCCGACATAGGGAGATGATTAACGTTCTAGGCCGACGAGAAGAAAAAAAAATCTGCTTTCCCGTTTCTTACACTAAATGCAAGCAACTCGCAATTAGCAAACCTATATAAATAATACCACGTCGCTTTTACGCAACAACCATTACCTATGTAATAATATCGCGGTAATATTGCACCAGTAAATCGACCTTTTAACAATTGTGAACATGACACATAATATACTTGCGAAATTACTCATCATTATTTCGATATTTTTTCTATAATATTAATTTAATCTAATTTTCAGTCATTCTATTGTATAGTACTATTTACCATTATAGGTTACCATTATTTTCTCATGACTAATTAAAAGTTAGTCACGTATATTATACGGCTAACTTTTAATTGGAGTAAAAAATCTTATAACATATATAAACTTGCAGTGTTTTTATAAAGTCAGGTAGGATAGTTAATAAAAACAGATATGTATGAATGAACATTAATAGAATATTATATTTATGTGAATGACACATGTTTGCTGTGACTCGCAATATCTTATTCATATTTGCGTAATTTGAAAGGGAAATGATTAAGATAATCGATGTAAAAATATGCATTTTTTTTAAATGCATCCAAGGTGGAATCACGAAGCGTATAGGGCTCGCGTGTCCGACGAAGCGTCCCGTTCTCATTTAGACGCAGAGTTAATTTTCAACTGGAAAATTACGCAATATTTTACGTGACGTTACATCGCGATGACTACATTACCGATGTGAGCCTGGTCTTGGAAGAAGACTAGGACAGCGGTTACATCGCGTCTCTCTGCGCAATGACACTTGCTCAATTTGACATCCATGATACGTCGCGTCCGGCTCGTTATATTTGCGCTCACCATGTGTGCAAACGTCAGATCGCCATTACGCAAGGCGATCGACGCGTATCGCAATTCTCTTTCTCTTTTTCCTCTCGATAGTGAAACGCAACCGCGAAAGTATGCTAAGTGCCACGTAGCTTTGGCACTAACTCCAAACAGCCGGTCGCCAATTTTTTTCCCGTCGGGCGCAAATTAGAAAACTTGCCGTGAAAGAGAAAAAGGGGAGAGGCCGCTCTTCTCTTGGACTTGTTCCGCGTGTTTTCGGCGCGTTTCGTGCAGTACATACCGTATTTATGTGTAAACTTCGCTTTCCCTCCCGCGAGAGAGGAGCTTGTCTTCCGAATCGAGGAATATTAAGGACGCCGAGAGTTAAGATCGAAGCTGTTAACTTAACCAGCTTAAACCAAGTTAAATTGAAAGCTTTCATAAGCAATAGACTTCTCGATTAAGTTTGCGCGCTAAGTTGTCTTGTTCGATTATATGCGGTTTCGACCTGTCATTAAATCGAAACACACACACGTATACGTAGCTTATATGAATTGAGCTTTCTCGCTCTTACAGAGAATGTATCATCTTCATTCATGCAATCGAGTGTGATGACAGCGCCAAGTACAGCGTGGTACATATCGCCTGACGATTGCGTAATGGCGAAAAATCTCGCGATATTAATTCATTGCCACGGTGTTAATGTACCGCGTGTCCGCGGGCTACGATGTCGCTTGTATACCTGTCGTATAACCATCAGTTCACGTGAGTAACATACTTTCCGCACTTTCTTTCTCCGCGGGTGCACTGTTTACATAATCGGCCGATGCACGTTTCTCGATCGCGTAATATTAATAATCGAGCATGTCGACGATATCGTTTTCCATCGAGCCGATTATAAAGAAAGGAGTAGTCCAGCCAAAGTGCAACTTTCGATCGTGCAACATCGAGTGAAAAAATAAATCTACGAGTTTTTCGAAAGGCCGGAATCGGCTTACGTGCCTCTCCATACGCGAAGCCCATTAATGAAGCTCGAACTTTGGATTATATCCCAAATCTGTCGCGGATCGAACTTTTCGAAAGCCGTAACTGCAATATACGCGATTAATAGTATATATATTCCTCAGTAGTCTCTTTCAGTTCAACACAGTTTGCATCAGTTATGCAACGAGAACTTAAACTAAATTCCCAGATTTAGAAGTATAATTTATTTGTAATATACAGTTCAGTTTTAATCTGTTTAGCAACATTTATTTGAATTCATAGAATTTCCATTAATTGCATTTGCATCGCTAATATAGAAAACGTTATTGTTATCGATATTAATTTCTTACGGACATATAAAAATTCATGGAGAAAGTTTTTTTTTTTTTTTTAATAACTGGTGCATGTTATTAAAAACTATAAATTTCTTTGCGGGGATAAAAAACCTGAAAACAAAAAGTTGAACACTGTATATAACGTTCTAGGATTTACTAGAGACATTTTTAAGGATTATCTTCGCTGCTTGATCCTAGCGGACTTATTTTTTTACGGGAGTTAGAGTTAAGAGAGGTGCAATTAATTACTGTTAAAATTCGCCATATGCCGATGCGTGTCTAATTAGATCGTATCATTTTTATCATGTCACGTCATATATTAATTTAAATAGATTTTATTTTATAGATATCGAAGCGGATTACTCATGAAGATAAAATTTTCTGTACGATTGCGTCGCGTATAATATGCAATTATAAAACTTCTGCGTCAATCGCACAACTGTATCACGGAAACGTGCAATTATACATTTCGCAAATACAAACTGTTACGTATTTGTTTTGAAATGAATGTATAAGCATGGATATCTCACAATTTCGCTCGGATATTGCATATCAATACGTAACCGATAGACGGCCATTGAAATTTTCCGCGCGTTTTTATTTTTTATTTTTATATCGCAGATGAAAGTGCAGAACATACTTTGTAAAATATTGATAAAGCAAAATTTCATAACGTTGCATGCATCGAAGTAAATAAAGCTTTTAGAATACACTCTGATGTTGAATATCGACGTAAATATTCCGGACCTTTATTTTCTCGTTTAAAAGAAATTGGCTCCTCTTGATTATAAAAAAAAAAATCATCAATATTTTAATTTAAAAATATTCTGTATTCACCTAGTCTAGTTCAATAGTTCTTTTATTAAGCTATTTAAATTGTTCGAATAATACGAATACCAATGCAATTGCGGACGAAATTATATTCAAATTGGAATAAATATTTCGATCGACGGAAAATATGTTGCTCGACCGTGAGGTTTTGGTTCTTCTTCAATATTGCAGGAGACTCAACTTTTGTATTCGAATATAAGAGGAAGAGGTACTCGCCCGTTTGCCGAAAGTACGGCAAGCTAGTTTCATAAGTTTCGCCGGAGCATCGTGTCCCGGAATGAAATTTTCCAAGTTGTGTCGTTAGATAGTTCAAGTGTATTGCTCACTTTAAACCGTATGAATAATATTTTTTTACTCGGTCTCTCATCTAAAATGTTATCAAAAATTATATTGCGTATATATACATAATAATATATATGTATATATATTGTATTTAAACACAATATCAAGCAATATAAGTAGATAGTGATTTTAGTACATACAGATCAATACTCATAAAATGAAATTAAATAATAACAACATTGTTGCGCTTGTACCTTTCGGCCGAATTGATAACGATATTGAATTGCGTGATTGGGAAAAGTCATATCGTAAAGTCGTAAAGTCTACCATCTGGAACGGCGGGTAAATCCCGTTCGAGTAAACAATTTACAGGCATTCAGACCGTAAGAGGATTTTTAAGATTACTCACGAGAGCACGTAAAATTTGGGATCCTGCCAGGCGCAGTAATTGCTAGATGGCACGGGCTTCACCGTAACAATGTGAATCTTCGGGCCGCTCGATCGATAGGTCGAATTGCCCTCGCGTTCGACTCTATCAGCGCTGGCCCTTAGCATCGAGGTCAGGGATGCGCGGTCGCATGTACCTGGCAGGCAGAGACCCAAAAACACCTGACGTGTCTGGAAATAAAATGAAACGATGTCGTTATAGAGTGAGAAATGTTCTCTCTATCCCTTACTAAAGTTATTTGAATAATAAATCTTGTTGCGAACAGAGAGGAAAGAGAGAGAATTCATTTTTCTCGACATTTTGGTGCCTCACTACTTGTTGCAAAAAGATACTGACTATATAAAAAAATATTAAAGATTTATCGAAGGATATATATCGATTTATTACAAAAAATTCTGACAGAGAAATATATTCTTTGAAAATCGATATACGTACTTGCATCCTTTGCGATGCTTTTACACGTAAAAAATAGCGGTGAATATTGCAAACTTTTTCGGCGAATAATCTAATCTGCCGGTAAATTCTTTATCCAGATCAAAAGGATTTTTTTTCGCACAAAAATACAACGACAACGGTCGAATCCACCCCAATGTTCGAGATTATAATCTTCGTCTGGTCGCATAGACCTATCGATCGCGCAGCAACGGGAATGGGAATCTCTGGTTGCGAAAAAAAACGCAGTTTCCACTTTTTTTTTTCGTCAGCTCCTGGCACACAAGCCGCGTGCAATTTCATTTTCTTTTTTGCTCTCTCTCGTCGCAGTCGATAAAACGACTTTTTTTTTTTTTAACTCTAAGAGCTTGATTTTGACGCTTTTTCATTATTTAGCGATAACTTATATCCTGCGTCGAGAAACTGCGCGAATCGTGAAATAGCTTAAGAGGGAAACTCTAGTAATTAACACATAATGATATCACCTAACTTTGCAAGAATAATAAGGTTAGAAATTAGAAACGCCGATTTCCCAGTACTTGAAACAATGGTACTGAGAAACTTTGAGGAACAAATAATCGAACAATCTTATTAGTGCAAATAGAAATTTTATTTTGCCAATCGGAAATTAAACTGGCTCGCCAGCTGTTACTAGATCTTTGACTTAACCAAAATGCGATCGGTCTGTGTCTAATATCCTTTACTGTTTTCGGCAAACTTGAGAGAGGTTTTTGTCACATATTTGAACTTTATTCAGTTTCTATTAATTCGCGAGATTATAGATGGACCATTGCTCGAGTTTTTTAAATATAAAACATATGGCATTTATTCATACGTGTTCAGTTTGCTTAGTTAAAAACGTTTTCAAAATTGCCATGTTTATTTGCAGTATAAAATTACGATTTAAATTTAGAAAATTATTAAAATTTTTTGTAATAAAGAAGAGGAAAAAATTGAGAGCATTTCTAAGTGTCATATATCATGTTTTTTTTTTGTATAATTTTACTAAATCGAGTTTATATTAAATTTCTCTCTCAATTTTAAATAATCCGATCAGCCGATTTAATAAAAAGTTTTGAAGTGTTCTATCCTTTAAAATGAGAGAATCAGATTTTTGAGAGAATTGGAATTTTAATATGGATAGATAGACCATTTTTTAAAAAGGCAGAGATCTCCGATATGTGCTATTATATAAATTATTATATGAGTTATTTATCAACCAAGCTCATGACGCACTGCCTCAGTTTAATATATATATGTATAAATCAAATCTCTAATTCGAATATAATGATATGGGTGCCGGTTTTGAGAAGAAAATATGAATGACAAATATATGCTATTAATAAAATACATAAACGTTCGAAAATTTATTTCTCGTATGTGTTATTAAAACATATCGCGATTAAACGAAATGTATTATTGCGTGTGAATTATTTATAATACAGGTATATAAATAATACAAGTTTATTATTTAGCTCAAACGTCAATTAAATCATGAATTTATCAAGCAAACTTGGCGCAACTAAAGATACATCATAGGCATATATCTGTCTTATTAGAAATGAAAGGACTACATACATAATTAATCGTTTATTATCACACAATTAGATACGTTTTCGTTGATCTTGCGCCACTGTTATCGCGACTAAGCGCGAGTTATTTACGATACGATAGTTATCTAATTCGAAAACGTGCAAACAAATGATTGATGAATAATCCGATAAGTGCGATCTCATGACGATTTCGTCAGTTCGTGGTGGCGTCGATGTGCGCTTAATTAATTCCTGCAGTAGTTTATCCACACAATCGCTGTGCACTCGGGAGTGTACTCGGAATGGTGAAATTGTCGTCGAGTAGTAAATACAGTAATCCACAAAACGCGCCTCGTGTCATAATATCTGCTTCGTTGCACTCTGTTATGTAGAATGTAATCAACCGTGGCGATGATAAAATTGTATAACAAGATGTAGACTTACTTGTTCAAGAAATTGAAAAGCAATATTTTATTCTCGTAAATTGTTTAATATATTTTATTTATCCAACCATATATATAATTAATTGTACCAAGTATAAAAAATATATTTATATATCTATTAATATATATTTAAAAACGTGTATGTACGTGTGTGTACAATTATATCATCGATTACAAATAAATAATTAAATAAATACAAATAATTAAAATATTTAACATATCGCGAAAACTTTTCTGGAATCATTTCTCTCTCGATAAGCAAAGATGTAACAGTTTTATAAAACGGCGAAAGAGCGTATTACAAAAAGAGCCGATGACTTACCGAAAAATCGACTTCCTTCGGGAGATTTAAATAAAGCCTCGCAACGTGGAATTTGAGAGGAAAAGGTGGCTGCTCGTTGTCGTCTGTTACGCTTTTTCCGTTGGTGACATTGAGCTCCTTGCAAAGGGTGCTCGAGCCCAACCAGAAGCCGTTACCAAAATGGAATTGCGAGGAATAGCGGCCGCTCGCGTCCGACACTGAAAAGAAAAGCCGGATGAAACGTCGATCATCGGGGCGGAACGAGCGAGATAAACGTGCGTCGCTTTGTCGCGCGACTCTTATCGCGTGTCTCAAAAGAGAGAGATCCTTCCGAGATGGCCATTTCGCGAAACGAGCGTGCTCGACGACGTGCGAAAAATTCGCACGAGTCTCTTGTCAGCACGCCACGTTCTCTCTCTCTCGAGAAAACTCTCGAAATCGCTCCAGATACGATCCAGCTACCCGGATGCTGCGCGTTTCGGTATAACTTTTTCTTTTCCTCCCGACTTTCTCTCGTTGAAAAAAAAAAAAAAAAGATTGCTTTACAGCCATCTGCACCGAGAGCGCAATGAAATTTCGTCGTTCCAAATTACCTGAAGGACCCAATAACATGGGCTGTCGGCGGAAGGTTCATTGTCAGTTACGTAAAGCGACTTGGGCTGACCAAGAGTAGAAAGCGCAATCGGGCGGGCTGCATAAACCGATGTTCCCGTCGGCCGAACACTATTATAAGAACGTAATGCGCGCGGTTCTGTTAACGCGAAAGTGATCAATTTTGTGCGATAATTTAAAAGCACTGGTATTACGCAAATAAACAGCGCGGAAACTTTAACAAGCCGTATCGTAAGCGGCGTTAAAATACAATTTTTCGACGTAGACGATATATATCCCGATACTGGTTTATGTTTGGAAGATGATTTGACTTCTTAGCGAAAATTCGATTTTTGGATGCCATAATTTTATAATCTGTACCTATATACATATATATGCACACACGATTTTATTACGTAGTTAGGGAGAGTCACTATGTGGAATTTGACTTTAGGTCTGACTTCTTAGCGAAAGTTGAACCGTTGGACCCCATAATTTTATAATCTGTACCTATATATATGATTTATTACGTGGTTAGAAAGAGCTATAAAATCACTACGGAATTGTCTTGAGCCACAAAGCCACACTGCTGCACTTTGGCGGAGGAATTTGCAACAATGGCGTAACTGCGTCCGACGGATTAATGACGACCTGGCTTTAGGAATAATGACTCGTCGTTGCGTTATGACAGCTGCGAGATCGGGGGGACGTCGAAAGAAATTACGTAACGCAAGCTCGGGGAGCGTTTGGAAACAATCCTCGTGATAGCGAACACAAAATGCAATGTAACTTTTTATTGCCTGTCGCCCGGCGACTTGATAATTGCCAAAGTTTATTGCCTTCGCTTATATTTCACGATTGCATTGCTTAACGTAATTATTTTCGTTGGCGCCTATAAAACTATATTGCGGGCCGACTCAAACATATTTTAAATCTTCGCGATGACAATCGTGTTCATACGCATCACATTTATCATCTTTCCCATCATATTAATTAATTTAATTAGCTTTCCACATAATTTTTCAAAATTTCTCCATATATATATATAATGACATTTTATAAGGGATCAAGTTTCATTAATAGAGTCAGGGATAAAATAATTATCTCCGGCAATTAGCATCGCTTTCTAAGCATAATTGCAACTCAGCTCGTTTTCGAACCGCTGTCACATACGCCCGGATCGGCAGTCGCGCGAAGATACACCTGCCGGGGGTCGCGTGTCGCGAATACAATTGCAATTTCGCAATTTTCGCGGCGCGCCTGGCCGCCGGCGCATCCGTCGTTATATCGACGTTATTACTGCGGGTATACCGATAATGCGGACGCGACGTTTTCGCGAGCCGTGACCGGAAATCGCTGTAGATCTGCAGGTGGCTCCGCAGCACCGTAGGCTCCTGGCTTTGACGCAGCAGTTGGGTGCTTTCATCGCGGACCCGATTGCGCGCTTCGCCTTTCTCAGCTTTCTAAAATCACGGGCGGCACCACGTGCAATAACGATATTCTTTTCAGGGACTGTTATTATTACTTAATTACTGATAACGTTGCTTGCGCAAGATAATTTATAGATTTATTCCCTCCACGCCCCTCTTTTAATTTAGCTACGTACGTTATATCATTGCAGATTTTGTCTGAATATAGCCGTGAACGATAATTTTTTACAATTGCTGCATCGTTGAATAATGCGAGAAGGGTTTTCATGTAGCAGATGGAATTTGCGTGTGCAAAAATGTCAAGAGGGGCTCTTGCTTAATCGGAAATATTATCGGAATATTGGAGATTCTCGTTCTCTCTCTCCGAATACAAACATACACAATGTGTGACAAATATATAAATTTCTCGGTCGTCATTTAATTTTTATGAACGTATACAAATATATATCTACGTTTATCATCGAGCCTGATAGAAAAAAAAAAAAATAATTTTTATTATGTCATTCTGTACAAAATGTTTAAATATATAAATTAATTAATGGAAAATATATAACATGACAGGGATAAAAATAAAAATATGAAGATGTGTAAAAGTTTATATAAAGAGGATAAAATGTAATATTTTTTGATTTATACGAAAAGTTCTCTTTAAGATAAATTTCGAAAACACTCGCGAAAACAATTGTGCGCTTCATTTCGAATTCAAGAAGTTTAGAGTTTATGTGAGCGTATTTCATTTGCACGACTTTAGTGTTGATTTTCTTCTGAATCCTGTAAAATGTCATATTCGGGATAATAAATTTAATTTTCTTTTGTGACATTCACGGAAAACGCGTAAAGATTTGTGATGTAAAATGTTAAAAAGTTCACTAAATTAAATTGTAAACTGGGTCAGAGCATTTCGATTATTACAAGATGAGAGAATGTAAAAGTTTCATAAAGTAATGGAATCTTTAGCGAGCCACTCTTGCCTGACAATCATATGATAGTCATAGATCTAATCGAACATACAAATGCAAATGTCTCTAGATATCTGATTAATATTCACCGACCAAAAATATTTTCTTAAATTGCTTGATTATGATTTATTGTTACAAAAAATCAAATTTTTTAATCATCCGCTATGATTTTATATTTAGTTGAATTTATAATTCGTAATTTTTTTTTTCTCTTTCTTTCTGTCATGTCATTTTTAAAAAGTCGTTAATCATTATTCTCATCAAAATCTTTATTCAGGATATGAAACGAAAGCAATAAGGAATTTAAATTATTTTTATAATGTAGACAACTGCGATGATTACCATACTGGTATGGTGTATTTAAATTACTCAAATCATTTAATGTAAAAATATCTAGATTTGGAAGAATCTGGGAGGTTTTTTTAAATATATTTTAATTAATCAGAATAACACTTACTCTTCGCGGCCCAGATTTTCCCGTTTCTCAGCGCGCCGAGGAACCTTTCCATATCCCTTCGACACTCGTCCTGAAGTTTCCCAGGCACTCTGGCCCACCTAAGAGGATCGTAAAGATCGGCAAGCCACTGTATACTGTTAGCTGTTTTTTCAAGTTTCTCCTTCATGAAATCGATGTCGAGATCCCGATGCTCCTCCTCGCTCCTGTCGAACATTTTCAAGTAGTTTTTCCAATCTAGTTCCGGATTATTTTTGCTGAAGGCAATTAAAGGCTTCCTAGATTCATTCTTCTCGTTCGCGTACTCCGTTGTATTAAAGTTTGACATCTTCGTCCCGATTGAAGCAAATTTCTGCGGTTTGCTTAGTTTGAGGATGTTCGATTCCTTCTCCGCGAGTATCGCGCAGGCGACAAGTAGGATCACGAGAAGGTAACTCGATGGATGTGCCATTTTACCTTCGTTTATTATTAGAGATGTTACCGTGCAAAATCCACTTGCGCTTTAGAAAAAAAACGATCGACTAGATTTTAGGAGATCGAGCTCATCGATTTCCGTCATTAAGTTCTCCGGATACCGTCATCTTAACACTCGATGAATTCCTCCGAGAGTAATGCCGTTGTAATGAGTGTTTACTCAATTGAATTCTCGAGCATACTTGAAGAGATATGCGAATGCGAGAAATGCCGATTCGGTATGCAGAATTCGGGGAATCACGCTTGTTCGTGCTGCTGATTTTAACGAGCACACAAGCACACGTGCAAATTCGCTCTCGAGATTGCAACGGTTTAGCGAATAAACCGACTTTAATGCCGTAAAAGAGACAATAATTATAGAAAGTTCCTTTATATAATGGTCTCCGATACACCCGTAACTTTTGAAATGTTTAATATGATCAATGGAAAAATTTAAATATTAGATGTGTCGTATTTAATTAAAAATCTCTTTGTTTCAATATATATATTTTAAATATTTTAAATGTAAGATTTTTTCACTTTCTGTCGCAATGTGAAATTTTAGAATACATAAGATGTATTAATATCAACGTTTATTATGTCAGACGTGTTTTTAAATTCCACTAATATATCGATTAAAAAAAAAAAAGTGATATGAATCTCGTTTTATCGTACGAGAAGAATTTGTCAGATCTCACTTCGCGATCGCACGACACGCGCACGTTTTTTCACTGATTGGCGTTGACGAGAAAAAAATCACAGGGAATGCTTCCAAAGCTGGAAAGGAGGTGCCCGTACATATGACAGACTAAGGATCACGCACTGAATGGAGCGAATAAAGTCCGCTGCAGTGTTCGCTCGCGGACAGGGGGTTCCCCTTTCTCTTACGACGATGCACTTTACCGCCATAAATGCATTTCCTTCTCCGAGTCGCAAAGAAATGCCATGGCTCGGGCCGGTTTTTCCACTGTGCTCGATAGAAGACTTGTCGAATCGAATAACCATTTTATAATAATATTGACGGAATATTATATCAGTTGTTATATTTATAAAATATCTCTTGTTATAAAACACTTTTATGTAAATCGTACTTCAAATTTTTAATGAAAGTTCGATGAAATACATACTTTTCATCTCGTAATATCATCGTAATTTCTCGGAAAAAAATGCGCTTCTATGATTGTCCCATTTTTAATTATTAATCGGCATATCTGATAATTACAAAGCATGGCTTTACATAATTGTAATAATAATGCGGTATATCACGCAATGAGAGATTGCACATGCGGATATAGAGACTTGCTTATGTAAAACGACAATTTACTTTTCAAATTTCTCTAATAAAAATGCAGCTCTTAGTCTCACTCCTCGCTTTACACTGTAACAACAATTATCTTATATGATAGGTTGCGCAAAGGCAAGCGGTTCATGTTTCTGATATTAGATAAGTATCTTGAAAGAGATATCTATGTGTACTCTGCAACAAGTGTTATTCGTCTACGCATATGTCTTACGTATATAAATTAGAGAAAGGTTCAATCGCTAAAAAAGATTGCGTGTGAATTTAATTCTCGACAAAAGCAGCTTATTTACATTACGATGCGCATAATCGCATATTACTGTATTGCATAGACAGCGTTCGAGTGGTTCAATTACGATAAATCCAATAATATTGTTATTATTGTAGTATTAATTGCCTATTACGTTCTATGCGTTACTTGAGGTTCCCTTTGTTTCCGAGGAAACGGCGTCATCATGATGATAATTTTCCCATTACACGTGTCGCGCTAATACCGAAATCATTTAGTGAACGATATTAAATATTTAATGAGACAAATTATTTGCTCAATATTTCGCGTTCACGTTTTGAATACACGGACTGATACAGAAATTGAACAAGTCCATCCTGAATCTTGCGAGGAAGAAAAGGTTTTTATTAATGACGGTCTCACGCATGTCCTTGACTCGGGAGGGTCTTGTCGCTTAAAATAATAAAGTAAATAAGGGGCGAGAGGAGGGTAGGATGATTGATCTCGGTTGAGATTGGCAGTGAACAGGAGTGTGCCAACTAAGAGGCGGGAATCGACGATGCGAACATTCGTCTCGATAGCATAGTCTGGAAAATAGTGAAAAGAGAAGCTTGAAGCGCGGAGAGAATTTTCTTCTCGAGATCTGGCTTACTCGGCTGTAAACAGGTGAAATATGAGTCTGGTATCCAAAAGAAAGTGTTAAGCTTTTTTTACTTTACGGCGATCACAAGAGAGCGGACACGGCTTCAAACTATCTTTTCTCGACATAAAAAAATTAAACTTTTGAATATTTATATTTTTTTTATATATATATGCACGCATAGAATTTTATTGCGCCATCAGAAGAGAGATGAACGAGGGATAATATTAACCACAGAATACACGTTTCCAACGATAAGCTCTCCTCTATGCAATCCGTGTACTGTACGAAATACGCTTTATACATTTTTCATCTTCCTTCGTATTGCGGTGACGAAATTGATGACGACCGAGACTCTCGCGTCCCGGATGCAACGGCCGTAAAATGTGTGGTGATGCTTTACAAATCGATTTTCGCTACATAAGCGGATGTTCTTCCGGTCGTTTCCCGACTTTGTATCCATCGAACCATTGTAAAGCATCTCATAAACCAGTGTATAAACAATTGATTCTTATTGATTTCCAATAAATTCAACCTGAGAACCAGCTTTTCACAAGAAATGAATAAAAAAAGAACAGTTAAAAATTAATTTTTTTCTCGAAAAGAATTATTCTCCGATTCGTGGCCGAAAGTATGTACCTTTCATTACGATTTCTGACTTCTGCACTTTACTGTACGTGTATCAGCATTAACGTTTTTACATAATCGTATTTTACGAACTCGTAATGAACGATGTTTTAAAATCTTACGAGAAGAAAATCTTACTGAGAAGAGAAAGAAGTAATAACAGCATATTAGTATGCGTGTCGCGATTCCCGGATCTCTTCGGGTAAAATTGAGTAATCGAGCAATCTTATGCGGCTTATATTTTTTTTAACGTTTACGCAAAGTCAATGAGAAAAATTGTTACAAACAACTTTTAGCGACTCTCACCGATCGCGGCGTCCACCGATTTTACATCGACGGTTTCCAAAGTTTCTCCAAATTTCTTAACCCGTCACTCTTTATCATTCGCGCATCTTTATACTCTCATCTTCTTCTCTTTCTCAGAAACAACGTCTGGCAGATCCGGTTGTATGGCTTATGCAACTGAGCTTTCTACGTGATCGGCTGCATACATTCGCGGATTTCAACCAGTCCTCGCTCAGGAAGCGGGAGATCGGTTTCGAATTTTTGCTGTCGTTGCTTTCGATTCATCGCGAAAATCTTCATACGCATTATATACGAAATATGTTCATATTCATATATAATATATGATAACTATTAGGATCATATGATGTCTTAATCATATACATGTTGGCTTGAAACACTTTACTTTAATTTTAGTGATAAATTCGTCGATTTAAATCACATAGATGAGATATAGGTAGGGAAGAGAAATTCGAATATTTAAAATTAAAAAAATAACACAAGAAATAATATCAAGCTATATGAAATTATTTCTTGTAAAGAATTTTGATATAGAAAGAGGATATTTTTTGACATTATAAATAAAGAAATATATATATTTAATATTATAAAAAAAAAAAAAAAACAAATATATAATATACATTTTTTAGGTGTCACATATAATGCGACTAAAACGCTTCTAAAATAAATGATAGTCACAATTCTGGATAATTGTATATAGTCGAGAAATATAACAGGTATAAACTATGTATCAAGGGGAAGAATCTACGCTATTTCGAAGATAAGTAGTGCTCAGGAGAATCGACGTTATCTTTCATGCATGCATTTAGATTGATTATAAGGTAGACGAGCTCTAAAAGACAATAGTCACGTTTTTTTTTTATTAGAAAGCCTAAGCTTAAACCGAAAAAATAAGTTGTTTAATAATAAAATAAAATTGTTTTGATATTACAAATTAAAGATTAATTTATAATCGTCGCATATATACTAAGGATTTATTATTTATTTATTATTATATTTGTATTTAAATCAAACCATCTTTTAAATCTTTTAAAAAAATAATCACAAATTAGAAATATTGTTGTAATGATCTACAGCATTTTATATCAGTGCTTATGAAAGAGAATGTTCGGTAAATCAGGCAATATATTGGTACAACTGTTACGTATTACTAACGATGTGGAACGCATGTGGAGTATGCCAGTCTTTAAATACGGAAGTGAAAGTGAGCATATCGAGGGAAAAGCTTTCTTTGTCGATTCTGAAGTGCGACTCTTCGCTGAGATTTTCTTCTAACCGACGTTGAAAAGGGACGTATCTGCAGTCGGTTAAGCAAATGCTATTTAGAACGTTATTTTCCCCTTTTTTCGTTGATAACATAAATTATAAAGAATTTTATTTAAAAAACCGCACTGATAACTTTAGAAATATTTATGAGTTAGAACTAAAATTAATCATCTAAAAAAAATCTTTTATCAATCAGGATTATAAGAACTGATTATAAATACAAGAAAAGACAAAAAAATTGACGTTGTTTTGAAATAATTTTTATTTATTGTATTGTATTATTGGATTATTTAATACCATATATTGATATATTAATAATAATTCTTGCTTGTCGTAGTAGTTAAATTTTATTTTTGATATAGCAATATTAATAATTTTCTTGCATTTAATTTCCTTTAATGAGTATTTTGAATTTCGAATATTTATTTATGCATCCTTTACGAAATCCAGTATAAGGTCAGGATGGCCGAGCGGTCTAAGGCGCTGCGTTCAGGTCGCAGTCCACTTCTGTGGGCGTGGGTTCGAATCCCACTTCTGACAAACTTTTTTTGCTTTTATATACTATAAAATAGAATAAAATATTTTTTGATTACAAATAATTTCTGCAATCAAAAATTTATATTATGCATCTGTATTCTATACGTAGGTGGTTATCGAGTTCCGAAATGCATGCAATTGCGTTCAGATTGCACATTTATGTATCTGAGATAGACAAGCAAAAATTAATGTTATCTTATTTTTTTATTAAAATATTAAAATGTGTTTTTAAAGTGTTATTAAATGTGTTTTTGCTTACCAAGAATTACTTGGAAATACAGTGCATTTTTGAAAATTTTACTACTTGGGTTATCCTAAGACGTATGCAATCTTATAAAAGTTTTTCAATGAAATATATATAGTATAGTTTTTTGCTAATATTTATACAGTGAAATAACAATATTGCGTTGTTTTAATCAACACTTAATTTTTTATCGAGTATAGGAACGTTGTGAGGTATATAAATATAGTGTGTGATTCGTCTCCACAGTTTAGCAAATAGAAAACTTCTTATATGATTAATAAATAAATGTATAATTTGATCTATATATATTTATTATATCGGTTAATTATACAATTTTTTATTATATAAATATCTCTTTGTGCAGAATTCTGAAAATGCGGTGGTTTATTTTAATTCGTCTGATATAGTAATTAATTAATCTTACGATCATTGCTACGGTTATTCGTGTTATGGTCTTTATCAAATTTGTCGAGCATATCAAGACGTAAAAAGGAACCAACGATAGAACGAGCCGTAGATGCAGCTCTATCGAGTCCACCTTCCATAGAACTTGCACCACTGCTGCTCTTAGCGATTTTAACAGGTTTCTTCGTTGCCCAAATATTCACCACGAATTTTAGTTCGGCTATTAGCGCTTCTTTAGGCGTAATCTGTACAAAAAAAAGGAATTAATAACTCTTTAGCATACATGATGAATAATTCTCTGGCAATAATTCTCATATATACAATATATTTTACATTTTATATTCTTTTTTTTACGATTTAATTTACGATCAAGAAAAATATAATTAAGAATAATTAACGATAAGTTTTTTGTTTTTACATTAAAACATTGAATATCATTAAAGAAAATAAAATAAATTTATTTATTTCATAGCAGTTATTGCAGAATTTTAATTTTAAATAAAATACAAGAGTGACGAAAAGATTGCTAAGGGTATATCTTACTTTTTCTCTCACAGCGACTTCTCGTATATTCCAAAGAAATTCAAAAATAGCAATAATCAATGCAAAAACACAACCGCACATTAAAACGAGGAAGACGCCTCCAACGTTTGCTAATCCTAGTTCGCTGGTACTGGCGCTTTTATCTGCAACATCCTTTGTGCACGTTCCGCCATCCTTTTCTTTCCACCAAAGTCTCTTAAGCTCTTGCAATTTACCTTTCTCACCTAGTTTCAAGATGACACCGTTTATCAATGTTCTGTACTCTGAATCTGCGAAAAAATATTAAACAATGACTCGTTTACATGAAGATGAAGAGAAATGGGGAAACATTAATCGATATAGTTATTCGAACGATCCTTGTAGAATATTTCTGCTTTTACACTTACTGCGCGGTAAGGCTATACCGTAGCCCTTGTTGTCGAGTAAAGTTCCAACCTGTTGAACTTCGCAGTTTCTTTCTGTTATGTATTCGATGGAAGTACTCTCCATGAGAAAAGCGTATTGTCTTTTGCTTTTCTTAACTCGTTCGACACCTATATCATGATAGAAAGTAAACATTTTTAAAACCAAATAAAAAAATCCAAATAGGGTATCTTTTCTAGAATTATGTTTTTTGCTAAGAAATATTTTTTCATCTATTCAAGAGCATTTATTATAGGAAATATTTAGATATTTTTATTTAGGTGTCTCAATCTGTGTGCAAAAATAAGATATCCGGAAAGAAACAAAAAATATTAAATTATTTTCTGCGTGATTAGATACTCACCTTTCTCGTTGGTCTCGACAAACACGCTTGGTCTAGCTTCTTTCATTGCTGCATACATACGTTTATATATCGTAGAATTTGAATCCTGATAATTTGAATTTCCAATGCCGTTTCAATCAATAACATTAATATTATTTATATATATATAAATACATATAAATGTATTAGTTAAATACATAATATCGAACTATACCATACTTGCAGTAATTTTGTTACAATATTGAAATTAACGTACTCTGAAAAATGCTACTGTCGCACCACTATCGACAGCTCCATATTTGATCTTCGTTTGGCCTGCCAAATCCTCGACACTTTTAATAGGCGCGTCCATCTTCTCCGCAGTGAGAAATGCTGCCAGGTTCGCGGTATAAGACGAAATCATGATCAGCGTGAAGAACCACCACATACTCGCGAGCATTCTAATACTCGGCGCTTTTGGTAGAATGTCGGAACCCTGTTGCATTAGAGAGCCAATGGTGAGCCATAACGAATTTTTTAAATCGAAATTGTTTTCCAATTCTTCAGGCTCGGCATTACATGGATGCGGATTGTCCCATTCGCCGGGCGCCATTCTTTAAAAAGAATTACATCAGAAGACGTTTCAAAACACAATTACAAAACATTTATTATTGTTTTCGTATTTATTATAGCTTTTTCGTTCTTTATTGATTTTAATATATATTTGGGTGACAATTTCTGCATATCTTTAGAGAAGATTGGATAAATAAAATATATTGGATATAATCTTACCTTGCTTGAAGAAATAACATTATTGACACGCCGAGATAAGCAGTCGCCATGTAAATCCAGACGTCGGCACTTAACGGCGATAGAAAAGAGAACAAATTCGGTTCCTTCTCTTCTGGCTTGGCAAATAAGATGCTTATACCTAGTATAGTAAATAAATAGTGTAGTATATAAATGAAGCAGATCAAGTATAATATTATTATGAATGGCATTTTTAGATAAGATAATGTATAATCTTAAACTTAGTTATTTTTTATTGTTACATGTTATGACTTTTTTTTGGCATCTTATTATAGTCTAATGTATTTTACAATTTTTTAAAGATTTTATTAAATAATATGTATATTAATATATATATTAATGTTAATATATTTTGATAAATATTTCACTTAAAAAAATATTGTTACCTAGATTCATGAACGGTAGACTAAAATCCACGGCAGACATACGTTCGTGTGTTATAGTTAAATCGCAAATCGCAAGATCAGTTTTCTGCAAAAAAGAAAAATAATTATAATAGCAAATTATTCGAAAAAGGAGAGCAAAATCGAATAGCCGTACTCGTTTATTTTCTTGAGAGATAGAAAGAAGTCGAGGGTGATATTAAATAATGGATGATTCAAATGATTTTAAAGAAGACATGTTTTTAAAACATATTAATTTTTTATTGTTAATATATCTTTATATTCGGTACGAAAATAGTTGATTCGGTCGTTTTACATTTTAACAGGCCGGTAAAAAAAGAAATTTAAGTGATTGAGATCAATTTAAATCTCTTTTTATATAAACAGAGTTTTTGCGAATACAAAACGTTTTACATACATGATCCAGAAGGCGTTTAATTAGGCCGTTCCAACTTTTGGTTTTCGGATTATAACTTCCAGTCGGTCCAGTCATGAGCTCGTACTCGTATTTAAATCCTAGCTCAGTTGCAATAGCCTCGATTAAATCAATGCAGTAGCCTTCGTAGTATTTCCCGTTGATCATATGTCCTCGTAGTGATCCATCAGTGACTTCTTTCACGTAAGGCTCAACCTGAATTAAACGGAAAAAAGAATTTATACATGTTTTTGAAAGCTTTGGAATCAGTGTCGCACAATTTTTTTCATTTTTATACAGTTTTAGCAGAAAATAACATTAGATTTATTACAAAGTTTTATTATGAAGTCTTACGTTATAGATTTCATTGATTTCTTTATTTCAAATTGAAATGTTGTACATAACGCTTCTGCTTTTCATGCCAATAGCATAGATTTTATTTTTGTATTATGCTGACTATATAGTATATTTATTTTTATACTATAACTTTTATCAAAAGCAAAATTATTTATTAAATGTAATACTGTTTTCTATTTACCGTTTTAAATTTGCTTTTCTAAATTTACTTTTTTTTCTTTATTACGAGTATTCTTTTTAGTCTGAATAATATCTGACACGATATAATTATTTAAGATTTGCATTTGTTGCAGTCAGCGAGATGTAATTATTTTTTAAAATATTGTTTTGATAGCTAATGTGATCTATTAATGTAATTAACATTGACAGATAAAACATTAAATAACATTACTAACTACTTTGGTACTAATTAGGAATGTCTTTTCTTGAATGGTTTTATATAAATAGCTTTGGCGTTCCTTCTCCGTTTGCATAGGATGTAGACCACTATAGTCCCAATAACTAATTGCAGTTACATCCGGTCGAAAATCCAGTATCGTAATGTTAAAGTCCCGTCGACGGCCGTATTTATCAATATTTATAACGCCTGTTATCTTCTTCATCTTCGATAACTATAACGAAAATTTATTATTAGTTACAGATATATAATTAATTTAAATTTAAGTATATTTAGTACACACAAAATACGATTGTTTAGTTTCAATCGCGCAATGAAAATTCGCAGAATTTGTTGTTATGCCAATTATTACTTTTCGGTAGTTATATTCATACTTTTATCATGTCTGATAAAAGTGTATGATAAGTATATTAAACATTTTCTTTTACTTTTCGAAATATTAATCTATCATTTGTGTCTTAAAATTTTGATAAGTCGGTTATGTTTGAAAGAGCTTATAGCTAAGTGTATTTTCTCTATCGAATAATAAAAAAGAGATGTAGAAGAACTTACCTCTCGTATAATGCTCGTAATATTGGGTCCCGCTTGATATGTTTCATTTTTATTGCAATAGAGTGGTACAGGATCAATCATTAAAGGATTATTATTATCAGTGTTCCTCGAATTTAGCATCTCCATCGCTTTATTCAGCAAGAATACTGCATCATATAGAACCGCCGAGTCTATCTGCAACAAAATTACAAATAGTCAAGTAATTAAATTTAAAAATGATGTTTTAGTCTAAGTTCCGTTTAATATAAAATATTTGTTTAATTCAACGTAAATATCAAAACGTGAAATAAATAATTAACTGAAATAGAATCGTTTCTTGTTGCAAACTCGAAATTATTATACTTGTAATTAAAATGTTTTATTCAAGATATATTTGTTATTTATTTTAAATAAATTAACTGCAATAATTTATTTAAGATAATAAAACGAAATGAAAACATTTTATTGATTTAATGAATAAGTCAAAAAGATTCACCGTGAGTAATTTGTAATTTTTGATTCTGAACAATTTTTTCGTCAGTATATTTAAGGGTTAAATATATGGTGAAAAGATAAATTTTTAAATATTATATTTATAACGAATATATTATTTTATTTACTGCTACTTAAAAATGCTTGTATATTTACCCAATTGATACCTTCCACATCATCTTGTCTTATGCTGAATCCGGTGATATTGGCAGAGGTGTCGTTTTGTATTTCCGAGATACCTAGTTTGGATCCATCCTACAATTTTAATAGAAATGTAATTTTAATTTTTTCTTATAATCATCAATCATTTTATCGATTTTTTTATAACATTATTTAATTAACTTGTATATGAACTCTATCAGAATTTTTAATTTCTATTAATTATTTTTTTCCTTAATTAAATTTTTATTTTTAAAACTCTCTAATAAGATTTGTAAATTTTGTATATTATTACCAAATATGTTATAACGAAATTACTATAATTTGCAAGCAATTTAATTTGTTTCGCCTGTTGGAGAAGATCAATGATCTTTTCCGGTTTGACATCAATGATGACATTGAAAATAGACGAGTTGCGTATCTCTTTGAGCATCGGGCGATAATCTGATCCATCGCTCAGTTGCCGAATTGTAACAGAAGTATCCTTTTGTCGTTTCAACGTCAGAGCCTTTTGAATGCGCGACAGTCCATCTCTGTTTTCGTAAATCGCCACGAAGCCATGCCATTTCATAGAATCGACAACATCGGCAATAGCCTAGACAATTTTATCAGTGTAAAAGTTTTGATACAAAAATAATATTATTATGATTTAACATACTTTACATGCTTTTCTGTTGATATACATGCTATACTTCGAAGATATATATTGCGCAAAATTTGAATTCTTACGGATTATGTTGCAATATAGTTTATAGAACCCCTTCAAAAACTTTAATAAGTTTATAGCGCATCTACACAAAATCGTTTTTTGATTGTAAAATATTTTTTTCTATGGCGATTGGATCGACTGACCTGACTGACCATCTCGCTGTCAGGGAATACATTTATGGTCATTGAAGGATCTTGATCTTCTTCCGTTTCCGCTCGTACTCCCTCGTTTTCCTGCCAAACATATTCGATATGCGGTATCTCGTATCTCGCGGCAATGCTCGCGACTATTCCGCGAGTATGCGAACTTGCAGGCCCGAAAATAGCTGCCACACCTTCTTGCAAAAGCTGGCAAGCTATACGGGAGAGAATATAACACATCAAATAAGCAGATATAAATTAAATATGGTCAAAGTTAAGGCAAATATGTAATAAGGCCTCTCTTTAGATTGAACCAGAAAACTAGAAAATCTGTTGGAATTCAAGTTGAATTAAAACAAATGTAACAACACATATGTAAAAGAGAAATTTTAGACATCGTCTGTATTTAAAATTAGTAGAAAACAAGATTGTCAAAATTAATTATTATAGTATGTTTCACAAATTATTCACAATGATTGATTTTTTATGTTCGCTTACTCACTAGCTAGTCCAGTCTTGAAGCTGTCGGTATCATCATCTATATACTTGGTAAGAGGGATGAATTCAAACGCGGGTGCTTCGTGTTCGTATCTTGTATCAGATATTGCTTTTAAAAACGCAGACATATGATCCTCATCGCCTTTGTGAAAGATTGCACCTGACGACATAATGATGATATAATTTCAGTAGAGAAAAGGCTTATTAAATTATTTTAAGATTTTCTAAATATTAAAGAAATTTGTACATTTTTAATTTAATTTTGTTCTATAAAATTATTATCTTAGAATACTTTTTACATTACATGGTATCAGTAAAATAGATTATTTTTTGTTCTTATTTGTTAATTTTCTTATTAAATTCTTTTGGACAAAATCAAGTTTATTATGTTATCATAAAAACACTTCAAATTATTCGTAAACGATGTTTTTCCGATTTATTTTTCTAGGAGGAGCATACTGCTTACCGATTTTTATTGGTCGCGTGATGCCATAACTGCGTGTTGCCAGTACTAATAATGTTAATGCAATCAAAAAGAGACGTGGATCCATTTTGGTAAGTACCCTGTAAAGCAAAAATCAATTTCTGCTGCAAGATAATAGATAGGATAAATTTCTAGTGCAAAATTTGGTGTATTTCTTAATTAGTATAGCAAAATTATTAGATATTAAATGTTCGTGTACCTGTACGCGCAAGAAGGCGGCTTGTATGCGATTGCTGCAATGCTATAAACTAATTAAGGTATGAACTCTAGATTCGCGAAGATATGGGGCATTTATTTCAGGTGTCTTATCACACGCAAATAATTCTAGTTTTTTTCCGTCAGATGGCATAACCAGGAAATTTTATTTTTATTTTTGCTTTTAAATTCTTCCCTTGTTTAGCTTTCGTAACTTTTAGTAATTGTTAATTGTTTCTCTTTTCTGTGTGATATTTGTTTTACACTACATATTTGTAAAACCAAGCGCGATTTAATTTAAAAAAATATAATTATGGATTTTAACGGGGGTTAAACATTATGAGATCAGAATAGAAATAATGTTTGTGTATCAAAAACCTGTTTTACCTGAATGCTTGTTATACAAGCACGTATCAGCAACTATTCTCTCATCGGTGCGATGCAATGCGCTTGCAGTTAGATTGAATGAACAAACTGAAATTTCTCGAACTATTGAGAGGAAAAACCGATATATAACTGTCCCGCATTTAGCGTTTCGCGTCCGGTGTGATTCTATGTACTGATCTAAATTTGGAGTAGACCATCCTATATATTTTCGGCTTGTTGAGAACCGTGTCGTACCGATATTGTCGCTCGTTCTCTTTTAGTAGCGAAAGATATTATTCTGTACTATGTTATTTAAAAGATTTCTTAACCATTAAATACTTTTATGCGTTATTAAAATTACACAAATACTCTCGCGCCGAATTTGTTTTTTAAATTCATTAAAATAAACAATTAAAGATATACTTTTTTTTTACAGTTTAAAGAAAGTTATAAAAGAAAGTCAAGATCATAATGTATAATTAATGCAAATAATTTATTTTCTATTATTTCTATTCATATTATAATTTTGTTCTAAAAGTTTATCAACAATTTTTGTTTCGAATATTTCTCTCTATATATGTATAGGCTGCGATTCAATATATTAATTGCAGTACTGAAAATGTATAGTTTACGTCATGTACATTATAAATTTTCAGTATTGGCTTTAGAGTTATAACATGAAAAAAAAAGAAAAAAAGAAAATTTAAATTATGTTGAATTATGATAGCACAGCGAAAAATCATGCAATTTTTTTTTATTGCGTTTACTTTCAAATTGATTACTTTTTTATATCGTCATTCGATAATATAAATTGAGAAAAATATGTCTTTACTATAAAACATATAACATTCGATGTAAAATTCGGTATAAAAATGTTTCGGCGTAATAACAGATCAAAGTAAATTAATACTGAAAAAAGAATTATTAATGTTAACAATTATATTGATTTGTATAATTATATTAACTTTGAAAAATTTTATGTGAGCTGACAATGCGAAACGTACGTGGAACATATCATATAGCGAAAATCAATGTATCGAGAAGGAAAAACTCCTTTTGTTAATTCTTTGCTTTCGGTGATGGTTTCTTTTCACCGACATCTTTCTCGGTTAAAGATTACATATCTGCAGTCGGTGAAGAAAATTCCATGTTGAACACCATTTCTGTTTGTTGGTAATATAAGGATTATAAAAATTTTTTTATAAACGCAGCGCTGTTAACATTTCAAAATAATATTTGAGGCAGAGATAAAGCTTTTTTCTTTTTTTAGTAAGGTATACGCACATATAGATGTAAAAGAAAGCAACGCGTTGTTTATTTACATATTTGGTATGTGGTATGCGGCGACGTAGTGGGGTGCCTCCCACTTCCAAAGATTGTTTATATTAATAGATTAGTACTTCCTTGACATACTTCATTTATATACAGAACGTTGACTGGAACAGCGGATTCCATTTTGCAGATATTATTTAGAATAAAAGATTTATATTTGTGTTTTGTATGTATGAGAGAATGATTAATAATCAAAATGATTACACGGTTTAAGGCACTTTGTTTAAAATACAGTTCCTCTGTGAGTATAAAAATCAAAATTTTATATATTTATATTAATATAAACCTTTTATATCACATATATTTATCCATAGAAGTTAGTCATACATCATAAAATATGTATAGTACAATCTTTTAGTGATATTTCGTGAAGCACTACGTACCGCGTTGTTTCAGTCAACGTTTCTATTGTTTACCGAGCATATAAACATTGCGGCATACGCAAGTAAAGACAGGGTAACAGGTGCCTCGACAGTTCGACGAGCGCGACGACGTCGTCGAGCAAAACGATGTACGTGATTGTAGGCAGCATATACCGTTGATGTCGCTTGTCCACGAGAACGGGGATTCCATCCAGCTCCTTGACGATGGAAAGGAGATACATTACACGGGATAATTAAACGGGAGTCTCGTACAAGTAGGCAGGTGAGTAGTGCAAACGAGCAGTATCATTTAACGCGTATTAAACGGCAAATGATGCGGATCTCGAAATAATCTGAACTCTCCATAAAATTCGCTTTCCTAGTATGTTTATACGAGGATTAAAACTGCGAAAAAAAGTCGCGGCAAAATCTTTTTATGGATGAATGCCGGAGAAGAAATTCACGCGTATTAAGACATCCTGTTTCCTTATTGATGGCTATATATATTACGTTTTACTTTTTATTGCCGACGAGAACAAATGTGTCCGTTGAAAGTATAAGTTTAAAATTTTTTGCTTCCTCATAGAGGAAGCTTTGTTTTCGTGACAAAATTTTTTTTCGAGTTTTCTATGCCAATGTGTTTAGAATGTTCCAAAACGTCGAAAAATCATATTCCTAAAAAATGTCTGTATGTATGTGTGTGCATGTGCAATTTTGAAATTTTTGAAAAATGTTTTTACATGCTGTAACTTTCAGAAAATTTGAGATATAGGATTAAATTTTTTTACATGAATAGAATATTATTAAAGGATGTTTGATATTGAATTTAGTAAGGATTAGTGAAAGAAAATTAATTTTAATTTTTATTTTACTCACATATAGCTTCCTCTATGAGGAAGCAAAAATTGAAAAAACCGCATGATTAAAACAGCTTAAGCTTTGTAAGATAAAATGATGAGGAAGCAATGTGCAAGTTTTTAATTTGCACAACTCAACTTGTACTTTTATCGTGTTTTTATGGTTTTTTGAATAAGTATGTCAATTGTACAGAATTTTTCAAATCACAATTTTCACAGAAGAATTATTTGCTCAAAAGTTTGACTCAAAATTGTGATACAGTTTGATAGGGAATAATCTAGTAAATATCTGTGGATACAAATTTTTATTTTAAACTTTAGTTAAAAATTCGAATCCGAAAACAAACAATTATATCGATTTTGACACCTTTCTCGTATATGTCGTAATTAATTCTAATCTATAATTCCTCTTAATTGCAATCATTAATGTTGACGCCAACGTTAATAGAGTAATGTTGCGTTTTTGCAACGCGTAAAAGAATGCGATACATCATTATCGTACATTATACTTTGCGATCTATTATAATACACAAAAATTTAATCATACACTTCCTAGGTCGCACGGGCGTTTACATAATTATCGCGATAAATAGCTTTTTCCATTGCTTTTTTATCCAGTATATATATAATTTTATTGATTCAACATACGGCGCTGTTGGTTGCAACATGCGCAAAGTCAGTACTGGGAGAGTCCCAGGTTAGCGGAAATTGTTAATTCTTAGTACCGACCGGCCTGCATATTAGCAATGATTACAGTAGTTTCAGTAATAACCGAGCTTAGGAGCACCAACACACACGGCAGATGCGGACGCATCTATAAGCGATATTTAAATCGAGAACCGAAGTAAGTTCATGTCCGGCTACATGGACAGATGCATAATTTCACGTGCATTCTTTAATCACGCACAGAGGTTCGCTTTTTCTCTCTTCCAAAAGATAGATCGATCTCATTTTGCCCTAAGGTGTTAATCGCAGGCGTGATCACCATCCCTCCTCCCCGTTCTCCGATTAATGCAAGTTTTGTTGCAATACACGGGCATTAAAAATTTTTTTATACATACCGCCTCTTGCTTCGCGGAATATGGGAAGATGGCATTTTCTTCAAAGCAGCCATTATACGCGTTCGTAGATTATTAGCGGGTGGGCAGAGCGTTATTAGTCGGCTATCCGCCCGACCATCTATGCCGCACGAACGTTTTCAGCGGGACCTGTCAATTACACAGATTTATGATCCCTCCTCCTTCGTCTCGCTCACTCGCTCTCGTCGTGGCCCTTATATTCCCCGCTCATTAATACGAGCCGGCGAAGGTTTCGCCGTATTCGTCTGAAATAGCAAATAATAATTTTTGATCGATAGTCGCCTTTAATTGCGACCGACTTAATTACAGATAAATACCTCCGCGTCGATTTATTCCGGCGCTTTGCGTTTCAAGAGCCTATCAATCTCCGTATACTGATTAACCCCTTGAAGACCTCGTGATACGTGGCAACGTTTCGCAGCACGAACTTTGACCGTATATAAGATGCTTGACTTTTTTCGATGCACAATGGTACTGTTAGATTCTTGATTCGCATTCATTGATCTTTGAACGTTCTATGTTCATATCGTACAGCTCAACTTTTAACATTTAATCAGAGCTTTGTTTATTAAAGCGTGATTAATATAATTTTTTTTTTTTTTTTTACTTTGGGTATAATTATGGATATATGAATCGAGTAAATTGCATTGTTTGTGTGACTTGCTCAATGAAACGCGAATGGTCAATCGACCTTAGGTCGATATTTTTTTTCGAAATTGAAGAATAGATTTTTCTTTTTTATCGAATTGCGACGTGAATTGTCTTAAAAATATTGACGCGAAATTTTTATATGAAATTTTTTTTTCTCGCTCTCTATCTACATTAAATTACTTAGGTCATTTCGAGCTTAGCGCAAATTTTTAAAGACTTATACGTTAATTAGTCATTCGCACACTTTTCGGTATCAAAACCAACGCTCGAAAAATGTAATAAAATAGTACAGTTGGCAATTCGGCGGACTCGAAAAGTGTGAAAACAACGAGGAAAAGACAGTTACACGGATAAGTTTATTTTTAGACAGAATATGAATCATGTATATTTATATCCCGCCTTGTATCGATTTATATGCGCGATTAACGAGCCGCTTTTTGACGATAACAGTTTATCGAATCGACCGTACTATGGTAAGTCGATGTAATGAGGAGACGCGCGTCGAGAGAAAAGAGGCGATAAAAACAAAAGGGAAAAAGGAGGACGAGTAACATGGATGTTGCCGATTTTTATCGGCCGATGACAAATCGATAATACTCACGCCATCTTGCATTTAGACCGGTTCTGCGGGAGTCTTCTTTCCCTGCCTTCGTTAGTCCGCGTGCTTTTAATTAATCCCAGTGCCTCGATCGACCCGATGCGTGCGACTTCGTGAAAAATGTTGAACCGCAGAGAGGCAAGGAAAGAGAGAGAGATAGAGAAGCGCTCATCTACGGTGGTGGCTCGCGGATAAACGTCTATCAGTTTCCGTTGCAACGATCATCTCGAAAGAGAGAGAAGGAGAGTGTCTAATCGTTTGCACACAGCGCGATCGAGGAATTCGACGATCATTCGTATCTTAATAATCGCCAGCTGGTCGGCGATTTTATTAAATTGATATCGCTAAAATTGCATGGAGTTTCTCGTTAAGTAACCGTTTACTGCGTACACGATG